TGCTCCTGGGGTGGTCGCCTGAAGTGCTCCTGGGGTGGTCGCCTGAAGTGCTCCAGGGGTGACCGCCTGAAGTCCTCCTCAGGGGAATGCCTGAAATCCTCCTCAGGGGGTCTCCTAAAGTCCTCCTCAGGGGGCTGCCTGAAGTCCTCCTCCCTAGGGTGCCTGAAGTCCTCTTCCGGGGGGCGCCTGAAATCCTCTTCCCAAGGGCGCCTGAAATCCTCCTCTGGTGGCCGCCTGAAGTCCTCCTCGTGGGGCTGTCTGAAGTCCTCCTCAGGTGGCCACCTCCAGTCTTCCTCAAGAGGTCGTCTCCACTCGTCCTCCCGAGGCCGCCTGAAGTCTTCCTCAGGAGGCCGCCTGAAGTGCTCCTCCCGAGGGTGCCTAAAGCCCTCTGGGGAGTGTCTGAAGTCCTCCGGAGGGAATCTGAAGTCTTCCGGAGAGTGCCTGAAGTCTTCTGGAGGGCGCCTATCAGGCTGTCGGAAATATCCCTGGGGATGCTTGAAGTTATCTAGTTGCCTCAAGTCCTCTAGCTGATACCTAAAGTTTTCAGAAGGGCCCACTGAGTAAATCGGTGGGTCTTTTGGATCAAATAAATGGGAATGGTCATCTCTATCATGTGACTCTGAACGGCCTTGTATTCTCTCACTGGACATCAAGGAAAAATTTACACCAAACTCCTGCATTTGTGCCTCAGATATAAGTCTTAACAATACCTCTGTCCCTAAGAATCTTCTTCGGTTTAAACGTTCAGCTTTAATAGCCTGTTCTTCTGATTTAAATTTCACTAGTGCTTCTCCCAAACCAACTCCTTTGTCATCAAAAAGCAAGTAAATATCATCCTCTGAAAGAGAAAAGTCTGCAAAGAACTTTTGCACTTCAACTTTTGTAACATCAAATGGGAAATTCCTTATATATATACACAGTTTCTGGCCAGAATAGCTTTCTTGAGAATATTTTTGTGAAACATGTCCTGGCCTCTCTTTCTCTGGTCTCTTCTTTTCATAACATTCAATGAACTTCAGCATTTGTTTTCTAGAAACTGGATCAATAAGAACTGGACGATACTGTAAAACAGTCTTATGTAAACCAAGAGCAGTATTATAGTCTTTCAGAGTCTTGAACATCACAAAGGCATATCGCGTTCTTCTTTCATCTTTATATAAAAATTTAATCTGTTCGTTAGTCAGATCAGTGTCTCTAAAGAAATTTCTTAAATCTCTTTTGTTAATACTTAGTGACAGATTTTTTAAGTGAACATAAAATCCAAGAGGGGAGCGAGAACGTGTTCTGGGAGATTTTGAATGAGACCGTTTTCGAAAATGTCTATCATTAATTCCTCTCGGAGAATGTTCTTCAGATCTTATAGCGACTTCATCCTCCTTAATTGCATTACCACCAAACTCAATCCATTGTTGTTCTGAGCCTTGCATTACTTCTATAAATCTTGAACCCATAAAACTTCTATGGCACTTAAGACCTCCTGAAGCATCGATACACGAAGCAAATTTTACTATGGCATCACCATTATTTCGGCCATCATGATGTTTTAAGAAAATTACTCCATCCACACACAAACCAGAGAAAAAGACACGTACATCATCTTCATTTACTAAGTAAGGCAAACCTCGCAGAAATAAATAAGGATTCTCGGCCTTCAATGGCCTTGTCTTTCTTGGCCTTAAATCATCAAGTCCTGTACCATTAGTATGAAACCCAGCATCTTGATTCATTGAAGAGCCATATCCAGAATTACTTTCTTCTTCCTTCATAGCCTCAATAAAATTTGATAGGCTGCCAACCCCTGATGCCCCAGATCCTGGTCGCCCTCTTCCTACACGATCAGTTCTTTTCATTTCTATAGTCTTCTGCATTTCTGCCTTGCTACTAAGAAAGAGCTCTACAGATGAGTCCTTGATAAACCCTCCTGATCGACTTATGGCACGTCTTGCATCTTCATCTGTTGCAAAAATAATAAAAGCCTCCCCAACTTCCCCTCCAATTATATGCACTCCTCCATCAGGAATAGTCAATCCCGTGAAGAAGTGACGAATATCCACAGGCCCCGCAATAAAAGGAAGCCCCAGTAAACGGATGACTACAGCCATGCTGAGCTCAAACCACAGCAATAATGACCTGCAGACAAAAAGGTACACATAATAGCAAGTCTTATTTTTTAAGTACCTTAGCCTAAACTAAACTTAATAATTACCTGGTTCCCATTTCCTTCAGCATTTATAAATGAAAGCAAGATACAAGTTCACAAAAATATTGATCTTAGCTAATTCTTAAAGAAAACAAAGAATAAATTTTCTCCCATCCATCTAAACATACAAATAAACCAACTATCCTGAAGAAACATATCACCCATCCTATACAATAGGAACATCGAAAATATCAAATCTTCCTTTGTAAGTCTACCAAATTCTACTTCACAACAAGACCAAACTATTTTCAGACTCATTCTGAAACGTGTTTCCTAAATGTAAGAGAGATTAAAAGTATTTTACCAACCACAATGAGTTTAATATATTTAGAAAAGCCATCCATGGTCAGTATATAATGTCTTCTCATGATATTATGTTGCCTAACACTGTGCTTCCCTGGTTAGACATAAAACAGAAGCCACTAGTACCAAGATGTACTATTCTATTTTATATGATTTCTGTCAAGCCTGTGTGAAAGCCTTAAACTCTGGGTGTCTTACCTGTTCTTTTTATTTCTTGGAGACCTGTTAATTCTGTAAAAGCAACTTAACTGTGGAAAGAAAATGAAATACAATTAATCTTTGAACCCTGTAATTGATTTCAGTGCCCAATTAGGATATCCATTTCAGAATTACCTATCAAAAGTGAAACAAGGAACTGCAATAATGGGCATTCTAAGGCAAAATTAATTATCCCTTTGCAAAAAGTGCAAAACCCAAGTGTAGACAGATATCTACAAATTATTAAACATAAAAATGTGCTGAAAGTTATACTACTCCTTGATTGGAAGCAGAATGAGGGAATGTTAAATATTTTAAGTTCAGTGATGGTTACATGGGTATGTATATTTATCAAAGCTTGATGAATTAAGGTCTATGCATTTTGATGTATAGAAGGTTTACATTCACTCTTCCCCCATACTGGGGATCAAACCCTGGGTCACGCTACCACTGAGCTACACCCCCACTCCTTCTTGTGGCTTACATCCACTTAAAACAACAACCAACAAAACCCTGTTATCCAAATATCAATTTAAAAACAACACACATTCCAACAAAAGACCTTCTATCACTTCCCCCAATGAAAATCCAAGCTTCTAGTTCATATTTATGTCCAACTCTCTTGCCATTCTCTTCTACCTCAAAGGGTTAAGACCAAATCAAATTAATGGACCATTCAAAATGATACAATGAATACCAAATAATACAACACCAAAGCCTGAAATTCAAAAACCCAATTTTTAAAGCAATAAATCAAAACCAATGAAAGTGACTATCTGGATACAATTTTAAGTTCTTCATGTTCCAAACATAGAACCAAATTTCATGATCCCATAATCAAAGAAAATACCCCTAAAATTAAAAAAAAAAAAAAAAACTCCTTATGCAATAATCCTAGAACAATAACTATTAAAACTCATCTGAATGTTGATTAATATAAAATCTTATCACACCAATATGAGTCCACTTTGAATCATTATCCTGTACTCTATTAAGGAAACCCTGACAACAATGTATAAATATTTAGAATATTGGGATTACCAATATTAACAAGTGAAAAATCCAATTTAGCATTTTTGTAGAAAACTTGCATCTAATTATTTAATGCATATCCAAGCTAAGCTAACAATATTTGATGAAGTCTTACCAAAAATATTTAAGACCTGCCAAATTAATCACTGTAACCAACATGTCTTTAATATGTAAATACATGTTGGCTTCACACATTACTTAAGTACCACTTGAATACCATTACTTAAGCACCACTGTCCACAAAGTGGAATCTAAAGACATATTCCTTGAGAACTGAAAGATGGTTTTCCTTTAAAAAGGATCCAGAGATTAAACTTTTTAAACTATAAACTGAGCAAAGATATCAACAAACTACTTGGCACAAGCTATGTCTGAAAAATATTGGTGAGGTTTACTATAAATTATCTGCATAATACAACTTTTTTTTTCCAGCATAAGCCTAGTTTCTTCAACAAACTAATATCCACAGCAAACACTTCAACAAAATCTATGAATGGCTTCTGGAAAACTTGTCCATGTTAATATTTCAAGACTCCTTATTAACTGGCTTAGCTACTTTTTATTTTTTTAATTTTACAAAGCATCATTAAATAAGCATCATTTTCTCTGTGCCCAGCTTTCTTCTTTTTAATTTACAAGGGATTTACCCTGAGAACATAAATTCATTTGCAAGCAAACAAATTAGAGACACTACAAGGAACAGAGTCAAATTCAAGAAATCTCTAATAATATATCCTAATTTGCTATCTTACCTAAATATCTTAACTAAAACAATCTTAGCTAAGTAGTTTCATGATCACCAATCCCAAGAATTCCAATTCAAGCAAACTATTTAAAAAGTTTATTCTAATTTGCCACTGTTAAATAAAACTAATAATTAAACTTCCTTGTCCTTGAGATACTAGGGTAATGAGATACTAGGTAATCCCTCTACAGTAACAAATCTAGAAGACAACCTAAAAAAGACCAGCTTTCAAAATGAGTTGTTTTCATGTAGTTCCAATATGCTGTTTTCTTAAGCAAATTCTCCAGAAAATTCTATCAACACAGTACACAAAAAGCAAAACACACAAATTATCCTGCTCCTAAAATTTTCCTAATTATGAATGCAAAAGTATTTTTGTGTTAAGGACACAGTGATTTTTTTAGAACTTCTATGAAAAAGAAATGAACCCCTAAAAGCTCATTTGAGGGCAAGTGCATTTTAAATAATTGCTTATTTAAGCCAGTGCTACATCCCACTTAATCACCATTTCAGCTAAATAATATAAAATGTGCATCTTTTAATCAAGACTGAAAGGAAAACAGGAGGGGCGACTGAATTATGTCAGATCCGTTTGATTTTAACTGGCAAATAAAAAGTCATCTTCCAGACATGGTGAGGGAAAGAAAATTCTTTTACTTTGCCTGTTGACTACTTCTTAAAACCCAAAGTCATGATGAAGCATATTCAAATTCTAAATATGAACTTCAGGAAAAAAATAATCTACCCATTCCATAATTATTTTTTCTGATGACCTGCCTTTTGTAATGCAGATAGTTAAAATAAAAACCAAAGGCCATGGTCCCCAGGAGGAACTGTAAATGAAGTTGAATCCACATGGCACAGGAATTCCCATAATATCCATCATCGTCAAACGGCAATCATCCGAAGGCATCGATTCTATAGCCCAAAGCCTTTGTCCACACTCCCAGGGGTCAGAGCTTCGTTCTTTTACGCCAGGCCAAAGTTGCTACGTGGGATCCGATGCTGTCGCCAAGACCTTCAGCCAAAATCAGCCTTCCAATTAACCAGGACCGCCCAACCTCCGTGCCTTTCCTTTACACCGTCCCAAGGGCGAACATTCCACCCTAACTCACCACTGGATGAACTGCCCTCAAATCTAACTAAAACGCTTTTGCCCCTCTCAAGCCTAATGAGCAGGGCCTTCAGAGCTTCCCTGCCACCACTGACTACGATGACATAGCAAAGAAAAAAATACCTATGAGATCCTTCGCGATCTTCAGTGTCAAGATCACTGGGAAGCGCACACACACCGCCACATGGAGGCTGACGGGAGAGGGAGAGTCGGTGTTTAGCTAGAAGAGGGTGCCCTAACGGCACAGGCTACGCTAGATCCTGGCGCGGCCGCCGGCCCCGCCTTTCCCTGTTCCTCCGGCTCGGTCGCCAACCCTGCCCACCCCGACGCCCCACGGGTGACTGCTTCGCACTTGGCAGTAAACACACACCACTGCTCCGACTCGGACACACAGGCCAGGGGCTGGGGCACTCTTCGCAGCAGCCTCCACTGAACAGGCAGAACCCTCAGTGAGCCCGAACAAGATGGCGCCCACTCTCCCCTCCCGTCCGGACAAACGGACGTACAGTTTGTCTGCCCATGCGCTCGCCAGGCGTAACCCCCTACCCCGGCGCCTCGGCTGCGCCTGCGCCTGCGCCTTGCTCACCGGCTTCCCGTTGTTAGGGGCAGGGAGGAGGTGCCTTGGGCTTGTGGAGCTTCTGCGCTTGCCCAGCTTCTAGCCAACCAGAGACCCTAGACCTGGAGAAAGCAAAATTGAGACAAAATTAGGAGTAAACTGCAGTAGGTTACTGTGGAAATGGAGATCAAACGTTTGAATTTTCCAGGAGCTACGAAAAAAGACGCAAGGGAGAAAAGTTCCTGATTTATTTGTCTTCCAGTGCTGTAGTTGCTGTGTTAACTTTTGAAAGCCTTTTGAAATGCTCTTGTAAACTCTAAAAAGCCACAGAATAACTTATTTCACTGCCTTCAGCGTTTGCCAGGTATAGTTCACACCTAGAGGTTTTAAAAAATGCATGCTTACTCAATATTATAGGTATTAATAACCTAGTGAAGTACCTTTATAAATTTGTTGATCCCATCATCTGGATTTTTGAAATAAGAATAGATGAACCAGTCCTGAAAATTGAGAAATGAAAAATTCAGTTATAGACATGTTCTATTGATGGCTGGTACTTAATAGCTAGTGAACAACCTTGGGTTTGTTTTTATTTTATCATTTGTAAATAAAGCAATCCACCTTGTTGTATAACTACAAAATGCATATATGGGTGGATCAAAACTCGCCATGAAAGCAGAAATTACATTTTAAAGACATTGTTACAGACAGAGAATAACAAATAGTTTTGAATCTCTCTTGCTTCAGATTACCCATTCTTAAACTTAATAATGACTTGGAAAGAAGAAGCAATTTAAGTGAATGATATATGGTTTAAGTGAGAGCCATCTTTTACTCACTTGGGTAAATCAGCCTCTCTGCCTCAGTTTCTTCATTTAAAATGGTAATGATAATAGTACCTACCTCTTAAGATTGTGAGAAGTGTCAATGACACCTGAAACTATTACAATTACCAGTGTCTTCTGTCAAATGCCAAGGTGATCTATAGAGAAGCACAAGATGTCACCTTGGGAAGATAGGCTCATTGACTAGATATCTTATACCTTGTTAATTCAGGATTTGGTCCTGGCCTTTTAGACTCAGGAGCCTGACCTTAAAAGCTAATATTTATTGAGGGTTATAATATTTATAATATTTAATATAATATAATATTTATAATATTTATTAATGCCAGGCCGTGTGAATTGTCTTCTTTTAATTTTAAAATTACTTTCAGAGATAGTATCTATTATTTTTTATTTTACAGATAAAGGAAACTGAGGCATAGAGGATTACATAGCTTGCTCAAGGTCACAAAGATAGTACAAGGTAAATCCAGGAATTAAACCTTGGTGGTTTGTTTTCAGGAACCATTACTCTGTATTAGGAGAGGATTCTGAATCCTGAAGGAGAGTCCCTTAAAACAAACATGAGCAATATTATCAATATCCATTTACAAGAACAACACTTGACATCAACTCAGACTGACCAGCACCTTTGTCTGTATATGCTTTCTATATGAAGTCAAATTATTAGAGAATTGTTTGCTAAGCATAAAAATAGAACATCAGTAGCTACCTAATCTTAAAAATTAAAGCTATATTCATATGTATTCTTGCTCATTAAAACAAAAGAAATAGCTATCATTTAATGAGACCTACTATAGGACTTACCTGGAAAAGTATATTCAGACCAGACTCTCCTCTGAATAGGCTTATAAAGGCATTGTTCTGGAATGACCAACCTTTCTATTCACAAACATTTTCTCCAAAGAGGTTACTAGTGACTTCCTGTCTTTTCTAGTGTGCTTCCTGCCTTTCTCAGATTATTTCACTATTATAAAAAAAAAAAAAAATCAGCTGAAGGTAATTTGGGTATAAGCAGGGTATACATCCAAATTACCTTCAGCTGATTCTTTTGACAGGGTATTTTATAACTTTAATGTATCAATGTCAAAATCTTAATCATTTGGGGGAGGAGAGAGAAAGTTTCTGGAACTGCACAATGGTAGACCCTGAAACAGTGATCACACTGAGCTATGACAATTCTGTGGTTCTGCCTAAACAGCTTTTCAGCCTCCCCAGATATTTTGCCACCATTGCAGCATCACCTGCCCTCCTCTAATGATTCTGGTATCATAGTTTTCAGCTACCTTTCATGGCTCTTCAACAGCCACACGAACAGCCTTGCTTCACTTGGTCTCAGAGTTACTTAGAAATTTCTCTACACTTTCTCTAGGATGCATTCTAAAGTATAAATCTGGTCTTGTATTCCTTAGCTTGAAATCCTAAGCTTGAAACCATGGTGGACAAATGTGGCATTCATAAGCTTTCATTTTTATTCCTTTCTACATTTCCAACCTCGTCTTCTATCACTGACCATACATAACATTGTATTAGTCAGGGTTCTCTAGAGGAACAGAATCACAGGAAGTATAATTATAAAAAGGGGATTTATTAGCTGGATAGTCTACGATGGCTGTCTGCAGGGTAGAGAGCTGGAGAACCAGTAGCTGCGCAGTTGAAGAGGCTGAAGCCCCAAAACAAGTGGGATCAGCGTGCTACCCTAGTCAGATTCACAGCCTTCAGGAAACTCCCTGGAGAATCAATGGCAGAGTCAGATATCTTCAGACGATAATAGCAGCAATCAGGAACCTGTTCAAGAAAACTAAGCTTGCATCTGCTGCTGCTTCCTCATTCTTCCAACTTTTATTCCATCCAAGCCATTATTCTATTAGACTGTGCGGCCCATTTCAGTTGGCTATCCCACATGCCAATCATCCCTAGACACACCCTCACTGACACACCCAGAAGCCTGTTAATCACCTACATCTCTTAATCCAATCAAGTTGATAATTCAAATTAACCATTACAAACTTACACCTCAAGAATACTGTCACTCCCCAGTGTGCCTGCCCTCTTACACCTCTGAGTCTTTCCTGCTGGTCCTTCTGCCTGTCTTGCCCATAATATTTTCTCTTTACACTGATCTTTCACATCTACAATCTCAATAAGGGCAGTTATCCATATCTACTTCTCTATTATACTTTGAGGGCCCAGATGGAAAGTGCCTTTCTTTCTGACAACTGTCTATCTCACAGAAGAGCTCAATAATGTCTCAAAACTTATTGAACTCCCCACCAAAGATAAACCACTGAGTTCTCACATAGACTCTCTTTCCTAGTCCTAAACCAAAGGCTTCAGGAAACTCCCTGGAGAATCAATGGCAGAGTTTAATATCTTCAGATGATCATAGCAGCAATCTAGAACTCCTTCAAGAAGAATCAAGCTTGCATATGCTGCTGCTCTTGCATCTTCTAGTTCAGTTTAATTTAGTTCAGTTAAGGATCCATTGGGTATTTTTCATCTCCCAGTGAGCTGCTTCCCAATTACCCACTGTGTCTTCAAAATATTTCCTATTTTACCCATGTTCATTACACAGAAAACAGATCTTATTTGACTTCTCTGCTATTTACCCTGGGGTTTCACTCATCCTCTTTTCTTTCAGACTCTAAGAATGATTCCCCCTCCTCCCATTCTTCTATCCTAGTTCTTGAACCCTTCTTTCTCCAGAGAAAATCACTTATTTCCCAAATTACTTTAAATCTCTCCTTTTCTAATTATTTCCTCTCCACTTACATATTGCCCTTGTCCTTAAAAATTGTTTTGTAACTATTTTGCTCACTGCCTTCTTGTGTTTTCATTTCAATGCCAAATCTCTCAAGATGGTTTTTATCTGGTTTCTGCTCTTTCTCACTACTGCTCTATGGTTTTCTTCTACTTCAATTGCTATAATTAAGCTGCAACCCCAAAAGTAATTAATAATCATGGTATTGCCAAATCCAAAGATCCTTTCTCTATTTTCCTCATTCTTCACCTTTGTGCAGCACATTTATACTGTTAGAACAGTATACTGTATACTGTTATACTGTTAGAACACAGAGCACTGTTTAAGCAGCCTCTAAAGCTAAACTGACAGAATTCCAACTTTGATCTTGCAAATTCTGAGCTAAGTATTTAAGTAAGTTTTTAATCTCTAATTTTTGCCTCCATTTAATCATCCATAGAAAGGAGATAAAAACAGTATATATTTCATAAAGTTATTGGGTAGATTAATTTTGATATTGCAGGTAAGGCATGGCTCAGTGCCTGTCTAATACTAGGTATACTATAAGCAGGAGCTATCCTCTTTGAACTCCTCCTCTTACTTTCTTTAGTACACTTCTTTCTAAGCTGTCATAAACTATATTCAGCTAGTCTCTTCCATTTTTCAAAAATAACTCATTTTCATATCTTCACTGGGTAATATTAGGCATGTCTACAATCCTGATAAATGGAGATAGTTTCACTTCCTGCTCAAATGGTTGTTAAGAAGACTGAAATGATGCATGAAGAAGTTTAGGACAATACACAGTATAGAGAACATATTTGTTTTCTCAATTAAGGAGAGAGAGAATGTCTCTGATCCAGCTCCTTTTCTTCTCTTAAATTTGAATTTTGATATCTGGTATGTAAAAGTCACACTGCAATTAAGAGAGAAGAGACAAAAGAACTGCAGGGATGACTATCTGACATTATTGAGCAAACATCAGCAGCCAGATTTCTGTTTGTTTTTGATTATGCTATTATGAACTGGCTTAACTACCTAGTCTTCAGTTATTTGCAAAAACAAATCTCCAATTATATACTCTCTCAAATTTATGCTTAACGGTTATACCTAACAATCTTTTCTGTTGTCCTTGTGGGTAGTTTACATAGATAAACCTACAGTACTTATAGTTATCACAACTTTAACTGTGTTTGTCTATTTCAAGTTCTACGCAGAGAACTTCTTACTTGACTACTCTCTAGATCTTTTGTTAGGTATAGTGTCCAAAGGTCTTAGACAATTATAATTCCACTGTATGTGGGCTACAATGGCAATATCATCTCATTATATAAAGATAAAGCATGAGAATATGCCAAAATGTGTCTAAATATATGCTACACAGGAGTTACTTAAAACACCACAAAGATGACAATTTTTGAAGTTATCCAGGTAAAGATAAATTCTACTTTCTTCACTTCCCCACACTTAACTTTTTTGATACTCCATTTCTATTTTTCCGAAATAGAGATAGTACTTTCTCAAGAGATTGTTATGAGTTGGCAACTTAGTGAGACCCTGTCTCAAAATAAAAAAATTAATTAAGGACTGATGTAACTCAGTGGTAAAGTGTCCCTAGATTTGATCCCCAATAATGAAAAACAGGGTTCTTATGAAGAGTTAAGATTAGGGCTGGGGTTGTGGCTCAGTGATAGAGCACTCGCCTAGCACACGTGATGCACTGGGTTCAATTCTCAGCACCACATAAAAATGAAATAAAGATATTGTGTATCCACTTACAACTTAAAAAAAATTAAGAAAGAGTTAAGACTAATGTTGTTAGGTGCCTCGCACAGTGCAGAGTGTGGGGCACAAAGAAACCCATCATGAATGGAAACTCTTTTTATTACTTTAATTATACAGCAGGCAAGAACTACATATTATTGCCCTAATCCGCTCCATAGAACATATAACCATATGTACTTTATCAAGGAAGACTAGAATTATAACTCATCCAGAGGAAGCATATGCAGGTTAATTCCAACTCTTCGATCATACCTTTTCTTAGTCTTCATTAGTATCTATATGTTCACAAATTTCTTAAAATATGTATTCAGATAAGTGATTTCCAGTTTAAATGTCTACTGAAGTAACAGTAATTACTCAAAAACATTTAGAATTTCTCTTTATTTTTTAAAAAATAAAATAAAAACTTTTATTGACGGAACACACAACCATAAAATTTGAATACCTAAACAATAAACTACTACATTAAAGAAATTTTAAAAGAGATAATAGTACCCAACCCACATTACTAAGAGTGTATTTTCACAGGAAAAGTATTGCAAAATGAATATACTAGAATTTAGGGACTTATGGAAAGTTCCTTAACAAGATATCTTTTAAAAGTATTTTTAACATTCCACCTTAAATAATTACATTAGGTCATTGTTTTAGTTAAGCTGACATGTGTGGTACTTAAAATTTTAGTGTGTCTCTTTTGCATAAATCTATTTTCAGAGCAAATATTCTGAGGATTTTGTTTTTTTATTAACACTTCTGTAAAAGTTGCAATATCTGGTGCAGAGGCACCTGCCTGCAATCCCGAGACTAGGGAACCTAAGGCAGGTGGATTTCAAGTTTGAGGCTAGTCTCAGCAATTTAGCAAAGTCCTGTCTCAAAATTTAAAAGTAAAAATGGACAGGAAAATGAAATTATGGCATTTGGTAGTAAATGGATGAAACTGGAGACTATCATTTTAAAGGAAAAGCTGAGATTTAAAAAAAAGAATTTTTTTCTCTCTTTTCTTTTCTTTTTTTTTTTTTTTTTTTTTGATGATGCTAGGGATTGAATCCAGGCTTTGTACATGTGAGGCGAGCACTCTACTCTGAGCTACGTCCCCAGCACAAAAGGAATGATTTTATAAGACAACATTGGTCATCAAAATATTCCTTTACCAACTTTATCACTTAGAGTATTTGTCCTCCATTCAACTTCTACTCCCCATATGGTCATGTCTACTTGAAATTCTCATATTAGGCTCACCAAGGCCAACACAATGAGATCCTGTGAAATGTAACAAGCACAGTGAAAGGAGAACCAGTGTTAGGAACTGCTCAGGTACAAAAATGAATAAGATTTAGACCCAGCTCCTAAGCAACCTACAGTCATAAAAGGGAACTTAACAGTTATATAACCAACCACCAACTCCGTACTTCCACATGTAATGTAGTAAGTGTCTTAAAAGAAATACAATGAAAATCAAATAGTGTTCCTTAGATGTGTAAGCTCATTTTTAAAAGCAAATTTGGCCAAAATAAAATGCTAATTGCTAACTTATCGAGACTTACTACCCATCAGGTACTGTAATTTGCATGCACTATCTTATTTAAATATTTAATCCTTAAAATAACCCAATGAGGTTGTTTATATTGCACTATTTTAAAGAGGATACTGAGGAAAGCAGGTAGAGACATTTGAGGAACAAAAGATGTTCCTTTCCCAATGAAGAACAGAATTTGGAGGGTGGAGAAGAGGCCGGGAGAATAAGTTCCCATACAGTATCTGTCTGTGTTGTCCACTATGGCAGCCTGAGCCACAGTGGGGCTACTGAGTACATGGAATGTGGCTGGTCTTAATGGAGATGTGCCAGCATAGGCCTGGAGGATCCATACCCAGGAGAGAAATTGTACAGAAGCCTGGCGGTCCAAAGAGACTGATGGTGAAGATGAAATCTGAAAAGAGGGCCAAACCTTGTAGAGCAGTTCTGTAGCCCCAGCAAGTCCAGAACTTGAGGCAGGAGGATCACATCTTGAAGGCCAGCCTCAGCAACTTAATGAGACCCTCTACTTAAGTCCTCCCCTTAATTAAAGTCCCTGCAGGCGACTTCAGGCTTCCACTTATACTCGCTCTGGAAGGGCCTTAAAGAGATTTTTGGGAGGTCTCCTGTAGGGACACTTTCCCAACAGCACCAGCTACATGGCACATAGAATTTCTCTTTAAGGAACTTCTTTCAGAACATAAATTTCTTGTGTCAGAGATAATAGTAATTGGATAAACGCTGGTCTTTTGAGCAAGGACTAATGGGTAACTAATGGTTACAGTTATGGAACTTCCTTAGGTGCATTTTCCACATGCACTAAGACTATATATACACTCCTTAATAGAGACAACTCATTCTTACAAAAAATGCACTTTTTCGAAAAAGCAAAAAGTTACCTAATAAATAAGGTGCCTTAAAAATATATCAGGTGATTCTACTGGGGAGAAAGAAAGAGAGAGACAAAATACAACAATCTTACAAAATAAAATAAAACAGAAGTTAGATTTAAATGTTAAGAAGTAAGTTTTTCCTAAAGGCCTGTAAACTGGCTATGAAGGCAATTTCAAAATATTCGGGAGCTAACAGTCTCCAAGTATGTTTATTTATTCACTTATTTATTGGATCAGGGATTGAACCCAAGGTTGTGCTTAGTCACTGAGCCACATCCCAAGGCATGCATTCATTCATTCATTTATTTTAAAATTTTAAGACAGGATCTCGCCAAGTTGCTGAGTCTGGCTTTGACTTGCAATCCTCCTGCCTCAGCCTCCTTAGCAGATGGGATTAGAGGCGTGGACCACTGCACCTGGCCAACTAGGAAATATTTAGAAAGAAAGTTGTTTTCCCCCAATTTTGAGCCATAGTAAACCTCCAAAATTGCATATTTTAAATCAGTGGAGGTTGGGGGTTCTTTGTTTCTCAGAGCTAAGGATTGAACTAACAGGATCTCACACATGCTAGGCACTCCACCACTGACCTACACCCCTAGTCCTCAGTGAGAATTTTTGAAAATTACTATAACACACACCATGTCTCCTTTATCGTGAAAATTACATAGACTGGATAAACTCTGACGTAAATATCATTTAAGAGTTTCATGAAACAATACTTACTTTATGTTATACAACAGGATGTATTCTTTGCTTAGGTATTCTGTTTCCCCAACCCGAACATTGACTTTCACGTCTCTCTAAAGTATCGCGTGGCGGTGTTTGAAATGCGCGTTTTAAATAGCCTCCGGACTCTGTGGACAGTCCTCCTCTAATCGGTCTTTTCTTGGACCAGCCACCTACCTGCGGTTTTGGTAACCTAGCAACCAAACCGCGCAGAATGAGAGTTCCAGAACCTGAGATGTCCAATCAGCTCAGCGGAATCGCCGCAGAGGCTCATGGGGTGTTGGAGACTGCGCCGTCGCTGGCGTCGGTGCCATGGAGACGCGCGGAGGCGCTTGGGTGGTGATGGCGGGCTGGTGTGTCTTCTCCTCGGGAGCTGTGACTGCTTTCCTCCTGTGGGTCCTTCTTCGAGTCTCTCAGGCCCAGGGCTACTTCTTGCCTTTCCGGCAGCCGGAAACGTGCGACCACAACCAGTACTTCGATATCTCGGCGCTCACCTGTGTCCAGTGCGGGGACAACCAGAAGCAGGATGCCCAAGGTAAGACGGTTTCGGGAGGACCCAGGCAAAAGTAACACTCCCGCCTTGGTGCTGTCCCCGGTCCCCGACCTTTTTGTCTGTAGGAGGAATGTTTCAGAAAACTGAGCTGCCGATTCAGGAGGAAAAGGTTACATGGGAGGATTGCAGTTTGCACAGTAATAAGATTGGGGATCCCTGAGTCCAGGGAACCGTTGCCAGTAATTCTCGGCTTCAGTTCCCCACCCCTTTGGATCAGACAGGGGCTTTTACAGCAGCACCTAGAAAGCGTGTGCTGAAGGTAGAAAAGAAACCATAGAAAAGTAGTTGAGGTGAAGAGGTGCCGGTGACCGGAAAGATTAGGAAGTGTCAACTTGGATAGATACCCCTTTTATCTCGCTTCTCAAACCGCAGAAATTTAGAGATCCGTCTTTTTATTTTACACATAAGGAGACTGAAGCCCAGATGAGATTGTGACATCTTTTGTGTGACCTAAATTTGAGAATTGGGAGAACGCATGACTATACCGCCAGTATCGAACTATAAATTTCCAAAACATCGTTTTGTCTTCATTTTCCCCCCAAATGCATCATTTGGACCTAGTTCCCACTCCAGCTTCTTGAAATATGTTGTCCTCTATTAAAAATAGGATTAAAGTGTTTTCAATTTCAGTTTCATTACCAGCGGTGTTAATTTTCTGCCATCTTCAGATTTGATGTATCCTTATTTAAGTTATCGAACAGGATAGATCAGGCTACTCATGCAGGGAAATAAGAGTGAGAAAGCATTCGGGCTTTAAAATGTAAGGTATTAGTTTCATAATTATAAATACAGATAATGTATGTGTTGTACCACATAGACTCCTATTGGTGATTATTTCACATAATGACTCCTTAGAGAATGCTAAACTTCTGTATCCAACAAGTTGAATAGTAATAATGACATTTATTGTCTTTCCAGAGGAAACTTATTTATTTGAGTGAAGGTAATTTTCTCAATAAGGTTTTGGCAAATTAAATTTAAATTCAATGAATGTATGTATGTGATTTAGTGACATAGAAATGTAACATTTCTTATAGCAGGTAAATAGTTTTAATAGTTCAACAGTTTAATAGTTATGCTTGCAATTAAAATATTAGGAACACAATGCCAGCTGTGTGTCAGACTCTTTTACAACTCTTACATATAACTAATTGAATACTCATACTAACCCTAAGAGATTGGTACTGTTATTTTCTCCATTTTATTGAAGAAGGCAAGGCACAGAGAGAGGTTCAGTAACTTGCTGAATGCCATATAGCTAAGTAGGAGAACTGAGATTGGAATCTGGGAGCATGTTTCTAAATTTGATCTCAAACAGTACTAGCTCAAGACTCTTGCTGTTAACCACTGTACAGTACTGATTACTCAAGATCTTAAGAATTATTGAGTTTTCCTATTCCTGGAGTTGTATTTTCTAAGGACAAAATTGGCTCTTTTTGTTTTAGGAACTTCATGTGTGTGTCTACCAGGATTTCAGATGATCTCTAGTAATGGAGGACCTGACATTATTTGTAAAAAGTGCCCAGACAATATGGTATGGAGAACTTAAAATAACTTTCCTGTAAAAAGTAATAAATGTCTTTATTTTTAAAACTTCAATATAATGTTTAATATTCCCCCACAAACTTTAAAATTATTAAGCTGTCTTTATTTTTACTAGAGTAAATTTGGGGAGATCAATGAAATTTTATGCAAATTTAGAAAAGACAGAAATGCACTTCTTCGCTTTTTAAATTTGTATTTTTATTTTTCCTCTTAGAGTAACTCAGTAATAAAAATAGATGAATAATACATATATCAAGCATTTGGGGATATATATATCCTTTGGTACAGATTGAGTTCAATGTCTTAGACCTACTGGGTCAACAGTTTTATATGATGATGGATGTTTGTAATGATAACTAAGATGTAAAAAAAATTGTATAATACCAATTATATCAAAAATAGTTAACAAGGCCCTGGATTCAATCCCCAGCACCACACACACACACAAAAATAATAATAATAATAAATAAATAAATAGCTAAATAATGTCTTGAATTTTTGTTAGCTTGGTATATAGGATAATTCTCAATAAGCAGAAATAGATTTTCCCATTATTTTAGATATTATGAGTCTCTGTGGCAGTTCTGATTTTTATAGTACTGTTTTTTCACATGGTCATATTTAAAAAAATAAATCTGATAATGTGATATTAAGTTACCAGTTATTCTAATTAAACTATTTATTACCATTAAATTTACCATTTTGATATTTATTTTATTAGTCCTGAGTTACTGCTGATAACAAAAAATTATACCAGAGCAGATTTATTTTTCAGTGACATTAGTTAAGCTATTGTAATTTTTAAATACTCCTATATAAATGCATTGTCAACTATAGGAACACTTATTGATAAATCCACTTTTTCATCCAAACTTTAAAGTAATTTGTGGCATTAAGTTACTTTTAGCATTGTTCTCTATTAATTTAGGGAACATCAGTATTTATAATTACTGATGTTTATTATATAACCTATCTTATATTAATATAAATTAATTATGTTAATATGTATTATATGTTTTTCCTAAACCATACAATAAGCCCAGTTTTTATATAATCATTGATGGGTAAAAGGAAGTATTGTCATAAACCAATTTTAGCAATTTATGTATCTTATATGCCATTAAAATTCACCCATTGTGAATCATAACTTATATGTTTATGGCATCTCTACCCCTTTTTATATTTTATTTTGAGACAGGGTCTTGCTAAGTTGCTTAGATCCTTGCTAAGTTGCTGAGGCTGGCTTTGAATTATCGATCTTCCTGCCTTGGCCTTCCAAGCCCCTAGAATTATAGGCATGTGCTACCATGCTCAGCTTTTCCAAGGAATTTTTAATTGGATCATATGAGTATGATTTCTTTGTCCATTCCAAATTACATATTGTTGTGACTGAACTTATGTGACTAATTAAGAAGAAAGTTAATTTAAAAGGAGTTTTTTGGTGTTTGTTTATTTGTTTAATTTAGAAGGGTGTTACTGAAGATGGTTGGGACTGCATTTCTTGCCCTAGTGGCTTAACTGCAGAAGGAAAATGCCACTGTCCCACTGGCCATATTTTAGGTAAGAATTAACTTCTTTATAAAACACTAGTGATAAATTTTTATTTGTGTTTATTTTGTAAATGATGTCAGATAACTTAATGATTACTTAATAGTATTTTTAAAATTTATTTTTGTGCAAAAAAAATTTTAATATATTTTTATTTGTTCTAATTAGTTATACATGACAATAGAATGCATTTTGACACATCATACATAAATGGAGAATAAGTTATTATTCGTCTGGTTGCAAATGATGTAGAGTTACACAGGTCATTTAATCATATATGCATATAGAGTAGTAATGTCTGATTCATTCTACCATCATTCTTACCCCTATGCCCTGCTTTTCCTTTACTCCCCTCTGTCTAGTCCAAAATACCTCTATTCTCCACCCCTCCCCTTATTGTGAATTAGCATCTGCATATCAGAGAAAATATTCAGCCTTTCATTCTTTTGGATTGGCTTATTTTGCTTAGGATAATATTCTCCAGTTCTATCATTTACTGGCAAATGCCATAATTTCTATTTCTTTTTTAGAGAATATTACAAGAATATTATAAAGAATATCAAAATATTCCGTTGTGTATATATACCACAGTTTCTTTATCCATTCATCTGTTGAAGGGCATCTAGGTTGCTTTCATAGTTTAGCTATCGTGAATTGAGCTGCTATAAACATTGATGTGGCTGTGTCACTGTAGTATGCTGATTTTAAGTCTTTTGGATATAAACTGAGGAGTGGGATAGCTGGTCAAATGGTGGTTCCATTCCAAGTTTTCTTAAGAATCTCCGTACTGCTTTGCACAGTGGTTGCATATAGTCCCACTGGCAATATGAGTGTACCTTTTCCTCTACATCCTAATCAACATTTATTGTTGCTTGTATTCTTAATGATTGCCATTCTGACTGGAGTGAGATGGAATCTCAGAGTAGTTTTGATTTGCGTTTCTTTAGTTTTTCATGCAAAATTTAATGGTGCCTTAGACATCAGCAGGCATTGAAAAGAAAATATAAGGCCCTGCCTGATTTTTAAAAAGATTCTTACTAATGTAGGATTAGATGAATACTTCCTTAGTATAATTTTCTGAATGCTACTGAAGGATACAAAAGCAGGCTTTAATAAATGAAAAATACTTTTATCATTTTTGAATGGAAAGATTAAACATTAGAAAGATGTTAGCTTTCCCATCAATCTATATATTTAAGGAAATACTAATACATTCTACCCAGATTTATTTGTTTGGAGAATATATAAACTGATTCTAAAGTTTATCAGGACAAATATATAAAAAGCCAAGAAAATTCTGAAGGAAAAAAGAAGCTATCCCATCTGATGTTATGCATATTTTATGGCTGTTGTATGTATGGCTGGCATGTGAGGACAAGGACTGATTGATCAAACTTAAAATGGAACTAAAATAGATCCAATCAGGACAGGTTGAAGTGGAGCATGCTTATAATCCTAGCAGCTCAGGAGGCTGAAGCAGGAGAACTGCAAGTCTGGGGCCAGACTTGGCAACATAGCAAGATTCTGTCAAAGAGTTGGGAATGTAGCTCAGTAGTAAAGTGCCTCTGGGTTCCGTCTCTAGTATTGGGGTGGGTGGGGTGAGGGAAAATAGATCTAATTCATATGGAAATTTGGTATGTAAAAAAGTGATATTTTGTATCATTGAGGATAAGACTGATTAATAAATGATATTGAGACAAATTCCAAGTTATATAACGAGAAGGTACAAGCTAGGTGTGGGGCACATGCCTGTAAATCTCAGTGACTTGAGAGATTGAGGCAGGAGAATCCCAAGTTTGAGGCCAGCCTCAGCAACTAAGTTAAGGCCCTAAGTAACTACGTGAGACCCTGTCTCAAAAATAAAAAATGAAAAGGACCTGGAATATAGCTCAGTGGTAAAGTGTTTCTGGGTTCAATCCCTCATACCAAAAAAACAAACAGAAGGTATTGAGTGTCAGCCATATTTGTAAGCAAGTTAATCACTGGACAACTGAAATATTTGAAAATCTTATGTAACTAAAATATTTTGATAATAGTGAAGTACTATTATCAAAAGCTCTCCAAGTTATAGAAACTACAATTTTAAGTGGGTTTTATTAACTATTTTCTAAGTATTAAAGAAGCTTATCTGTTCATTATGAGTTAGTTATATCTTAATTTTTCTTCTAAATTGTTTAGTGGAAAGAAATGTTAATGGAACATTGTTGCCTCAAGCAAATTGTGAGCTTTGTGATGATACTGAAAACTCTTTTACAAAAGCAAATGCTTTAGAAAACAGGTAAGTAGTATAATAGGGGTTGGCTTTATTAATATCATATTTATGTGTAATTTCCAGTTTTTAGAAAGTGCTCTCATTTCATTTAATTTTCACAATAACTCAAGAAGGATAGAAGTAGACATGAACAATTAAAGGAACTGAGGACTAGAGCACAAGACAAAATAGGGTTAAAATCTTTGCTCAATCTATTAGATTTTTTACTTTAGATAACTTAGAAAGTCCTTTGTCTTTAGAATGGGACTATATCACTCACTTAATAGGCTATAATGGCTCAAAAATGAATATGTAAAGTTCTTAGCGTAGTACTATATAGTAACTGCTAAGCAAAAGGTGGCTATTTTGTTTGTTATTATATAATTTGGACATAATCTATAATTAAGTACCAAGTATGGTATGAAAGCCTTTGTTATAATGTTATTTAGGAAAACATTAATAGATATTACAATTATAATAACTCAGGTACCCTGATTTACAGCCCTATTCTCTATTTCTTCTTCCCCCTTTATGCATACGTGTACCACACACACTTCCCTCTATCTTAAACACATTATTGCAATTTCAGCTTTTTCGGGTTTTTCTTTTCTTCTTTTTTTTTTTTTTTAAAGAGGCATTCATATTGACTTCCCTCTAAGCACAGTTTTTCTTTTCATTTCCCAATGTTTATATAGAAAATAGTTAAATGGTTTCTCCTAATGATACTTAACATTGGATCATCTTTTCTCTCAGACTGACCTGAGTTGCAACATCTGAAACTGACTATTGGGCTGATCCTCAAGTTGGCCCCTTAAAAATCTCCCCAGACCTGGAGTTTACGTCATGCCCCAGCCCTATTTCCTGCCTGTTTTTTCTTATAAGTAATAGTTCATATAAACTCATCAGAGTCCCCAGTAGTCCTTCATCTCATTCTTTTTTTTTTTTTTTTTTTAGAGAGAAAGAGAATTTTTTTTAATATTTATTTTTTAGTTTTCGGCGGACACAACATCTTTGTTTGTATGTGGTGCTGAGGATCGAACCTGGGCCGCACGCATGCCAGGCGAGCACACTACCGCTTGAGCCACATCCCCAGCCCACTTTATCTCATTCTTTAATATATATTAATATATATAGGAAAATATATTTTCCTAAAATAAATAGATGGTGAATAGACTTTATCTTAAAGTATTGGTTATGAGTTTGATGAAGGCATAGATATACTCATCTTTTAGGCTTATGCCACCTTTTTGCTTTGTGGCAGATAAACTAAGGAAAGTATATTTGATATAACTACTTGTAAATATTTATTTAGTTTCATTATATATTTGTATATATTGCATATTTCATTATATATTTGAAAGTATATTTGATATAACTACTTGTAAATATTGATTTAGTTTCAATATATATATATTTTTTGGGACTCTTGTTAGTTGAGTGACTTTGCCATCTTTGCTATTCAGTATATTCATTCTATGCATTCCTATGTATAGGTAAGAAAATAGTCTTCTATTATTGGTTAATTTTATTTGTTTATACTTGCCTTAAAACACAAAGAGGGGTATAAGACTATTTAAATCATTGTTAATATTTTTAATTTGTTTATTTAAGTAATTGCTTAGTTGAATGAATCTGTTCTAATCCAGCATTTTAATTCTCTGGGTGTCTCCCATGTATATATGAAATATATATGTTAATAAACTTATTTGTTTTTCTCTTTTAAAAAAGTTTCCAATTAAATGAGGTTTAGTGTAATTCATGAACATTTTTAAAAGTGTTTTTTTTTTTTTTTGTATGTTGAACAGGTGTATCCGATGTGAACCAACATTCATTAATGCCAGCAGGTCCTGTGCATGTTCAGAACCTAACATTTTAGTAAGAATAATTAAATTAATAAAGTATGTGTTTTTAATTCAATTGCTTATAACTTTCCATAAACTAGGTCTTTTCCCCCCTTATTTATTTATGAAGACAGGAGGATTATGTATCAGTAACAAAGGGAGTTTTCCTTCACATTTACTTTCAACTGCACGTCTTGGAGAGCTTGTGAGTATGTTTCACTTTTTTTCTTGATTGTGAAGGATCTTTCTTCATTTCTCCTTTGGTAGTTAATTTCAGACAAAAATTAGAAACATTTAAGTTTTTAAATCACTTTGAAACAAATTATCAATCTAAGAACCCTCAGTCTAACAACTGAGCATCATAGTTTAGCTCATTGCTTTTTCAAGGAAATCACAAAATGTTTAAACTGAAAATATCTGATATAGGTTCTATAAAGGACTCAGTATAATGCAATGAAGAGCATCATGGACTCTAGATTTGAACCCTGGTCATTAATTTTTTATTCTTGATTCTTTGGGAAATTTACTTAATATTTCTACACTTCAGTTTTTTGTAAGTAGGACATAATAATAGTAATACCTACATTGCAGTGCCTGTACATAATAGGCATTGGAAAAACAAGGATTGTTTTATGTCCAGCCAGATTCTTTGTTTTATAGACGAGATCACTGAGAACTGGGGTTAGAGATTTTGTATCACATGCTGGTGATAATAAGGTCTGGGGTGTAAAATGAGAGAAGAGGGTGAGTTAGAACAAGAATAGAGGTTATGTTACTGACTGGGAGTTAGTTAGGATAGGAGCTGGTAAACACTGAAGATATCCAGTATGCCAGCAGAGCTTATGGAAGATAGGTTATGATCTGCATGTTAAGTAAGTAGAAGTGATTGGGAGGGACATGAAGATAATGACAAGGGTGGATTCTGGTATCTCCAAAAAGGAAAAATTCCTTTCGTCCAGAATAATATTGTGGGGGTGACAGGCAAGTATCAAATAGTTTCAAAATGGCAAATTAAATGCTAAAATAGAAATATATGTAGGAAATTCTGAGATTATCCTCAAACTGGCTCATCTGCAACAAAATGTGTATCTTCTGGGGAATTCTTTCTCAGTCTGATTATCAAATTTGCAGGCCTTTATTTTATTCTATTTTTTTTCCTTTTTCAAATAATTCAAGTTGAAATAATTTTGTCAAAAGACCCAATAATGTCTGTTTTGCCTAAGATCCCAAATCCTTTAGAAGTCATGTTCCTTTTATCTTTTCAGTCTCATTCTTTCCCTGACTTTCTTGAACTTGACAGTTTTGAAGCTTATAGGGATTACCATCTATAGGATGACCCTTCAACCTGGGTCTGCATAGTGTTCCCTATACTCAGTTCCTGCTTGGCAGAAAGCCACAAAAATGATGTACTTTTCTCAATACATTGCATTATATCAGGAGGTATTCAGGGTCCCACCACTGATGATATTAACCTTGATCACCTGCCATAAAGTTACCATGACTACTATAAAGTTACCATTTTCCACTTATTTTGTCAGGGGAATTTCTAAGATTATACTTTCTCTTTCTCACTAAGCTTATTAGCTTCCATCTCCATTAATGACACTTGCCTTTATCAGCCACTGCTGTAATGGTTACCAAAAGTTAATTTTTGGTTTTCACCATTTCTTCCACATTTACTAATAGAATCTATTATATACCATTTATATACATGTATACATTTATTGATAATGTCAGTATGGATTTACTGGTCCCTATTTTTTCAATTGATTATAATCTAAATACATTATTTGTTTTGATGCTTAGATTACACTAGATTTGGCCAATAGAAGCCTCTTCCATTTGTCTCCTGTGTCTTTGTGACATGTCCCCATTATTTCCTTATTTTCTGGCACATTATTTCCAGACTTACCTTGTACTTTTCCTGCCCCAGCCCTGGAATCAGTCATTTCTTTTTTTTTTTTTTTTTAATTATTTATTTATTATTTGTTCTCCTGAGTTGTACATGACAGCAGAATGCATTTCAATTCATCGCACACAAATGGAGTGCAACTGGTGGTGCTGGGGATTGAACCCAGGGCTTTGTGCATGTGAGGCCAGCACTCTACTGACTGAGCTATCTCCCCAGCCCCATATCAGTCATTTCTCTATAAATTTGGGAGGGTAATATTTAGTAACAAAGATTATCACCCTTAATATGCCCCCATACCCAGACATGGCCAGAAACACATGTACACATACTTATACACATACATGCATCTATAACTATTTCTACATCTATCTCTGCATACATAATAAAAGAAATGAGTTCATACTGATATCTTTAAGGTTCCTTCTACCCATTCCTTTTGGCAGGTTTCAAGTACCTGCTCTAATAATAAGAAATCTGGGGCTCATTATCCTCAATTTTTTTTCATCACTGACATTTTTAATATCGTGTAAAATCCTGGATCCCAAGAAGTCTTAGCTAAAACTTTCTTTTCTTCATAACAGTTTCATCTCTCTCTTGGAATCCCACTTTTTCTTCAATTTACTCATGTGTTCAATGCATCGAGTCTTCCCACCATGTCACTTTCTCTTGCACCAGCACCTCCACATCCCCCTTCCTCAGAGGAAAAGAAGGGCCATTCCCTTAGGAAAGGAGGGATTATTTTTAAAGTTAATTCTGATCCAGTAAATATATTTCATTTAAACATACCATTCCTGAAAACAAGCTTTCACAAGGACAAGTTTGGAATCCCCACATCTAAGTCATATCATAACTGCTGTTTATGATAAGATGATTCTGTGTAGACAAAGTATAAATCATGGAAACAAAATCTAATTAAGATATCATAAGTATCTTGGCCCATTCCTCATTTTGGCAGGGATAAGAATTCAGTTATGTCTGTGCATTTGTAGATCAGTCCAATTCTGAGGGACTGGTTTAAAGGAATTAAACATGAAATTAACTTAATTGATAAAACAATGTATGTTTACTAACTTATGTTGAGACTTGAATTGCTAGTTAGACTTAAATACTTGTATTGATTGATTCTACAACACAACACTCTTCCTGATTAGAAAAGTCTATTTTGAATATTAAAGTCGAAAGTTTTCTTGGGGCACAAACTCTGAATGTAGTTACTTTTGTATAATTTTATAACAAGGGCTTTGAATCCTAATCTGGGAATATTCCTGCCAATCAGTAAAGAATTTCCATACATATGGTCAGTGTTTTCTCATTCCCTTTTCACAAAGACAGTAATAGTGAGCTAGCATCTTGTGTAGGTGTTTATCTCAAAAATTTTTATTTTGAAATATTTTAAAATTGCAGAAAAATTGAAAGAATGACTGTGCATACATTTTCACCTAGTTTAACCAATTATTAATATTTTGCCACAATTAATTTATTTCACTTTATGTATGTAAATATTGTTTACATATTGTAATGGTATTTAATACTGTATCTATAAGTTCTGCATCCACAAATTCAAACAATTGCAGATTGATTGTATTAGGAAAAAAATAGCATGTGTACTGAATATGACAACTTTTTTTTGTCATTGATCCCCAAACAGCAGTATAACGACTATTTATATAACATTTACATTGTGTTTGGTATTATAAGTAATCTAAAGGATTTAATGTATATAGGAGAATATAGCTTAGGTTAATTGCAAATACCATGTCATTTTGAATAAGAGATTTGAACATTTGTGCATTTGAATATCTGTGGGGGTCCTAGAACCAGTTGCCCCAGAAACAAGAGACTGTTATATGTAGATATACATACATATATACACATTTTTTTCCTAAGCCATTTGAAAATAAGATGTAGACATAATGACAGTTTATTCCAAATACTTTAATGTATATCCACCAAGAAAAAAGGCATCTTCTTAGCATCATATCCTGAAAATTTAAAATTAATACAATAGAATTATCTAATATTTGTTCAGATTTTCTCAGTTCTTCTAATAATACCCTTTTTTCCTTTCTTCTTTTTTTGAAGGAGAGTACCTAGGATCCAATCAAGAAACCCACATTGCAACTAATCTTTTTAGTTTTTTAAATCTACAGCAGATGCCTGTCCCATTTTGCATTTGTTTGTGTATGTGTTTTCCTGGATTTTTCTGATTGTTTTCTCATGAAGCATCATTGTTTACTCAGTGAAGAATCTTTTTTGGGGAAAAGACAATTCTATAGGTTGTATATAGTCTCTTACACTGAAACAAGAAAAAACAGTTCAAGTCATCCAGTTATTGGTAACACTAATTTGGTTGTTTGGTCACAGTTGCATTGGCCACTCTCTATTATAAAAGCACTGTGATTGATAAACTAGTCTGAGATTTTAATTTGTGATTTTTCTATGTAAATATCCATTTTAGTATCTATTGATGAACTTTCTCATTATTTTTAATTTCTTTTATGCCACTTTATTTTTTATATCAACAAAACAGGGACATGTATTTTCTGGATTATTGACAGATTTTGTTTCATGTTCTTTGCCCAAGTTTCATTATATTGCATGCAATATACATTATTAAATTGGCCATTTCTAATGATTTCACAATTCTGCTATTCTATATTAGCTAGCTAATAATCTTCTACAAGGAAGATTATTCTCTTTGTGCTTTCTTTTTTCTCTTAATCTTTACCATGAACTCATGCAATCTTTGTTCTCTCAGTTTGTAATCTTTTTTTTATAATCTATTAGTTATTCTTCTTTTCAAAGCTCAAGTTGTCCCAAATTTGGATTTTCCTTCAAGATAGCTCCTGTGTTCTTGACATGACTCTATTATTCTGTAGGCACCTCCTTGATTTCTCTGTATTGTTTCAGTCTTACCTTGCATGGTTATAATTTTTAATAGTGAAATAATACTCTAGTTCGTGCACTCAAAGTTATATAATCATATCAACTGGTGCCACGTTCTACATAATTTTCTGTATCTTCTCTGTTCATGACCTGTTTACTCTGAATGGTGCTTCTCTGTGTTTCGTTTTTTAGCAGAATATTCAGATAAACTTTAAAACAGTGGTTCTTAGTAGTTTATATCCAGAGCTTTCAAAACCCTGGTCTCATCCTGGAGCTTCTCATTGATTTTGTTTGGAATGAAACTAGTCATTTTCTATTTTTAGGATGTTCTCAAATTAATTCTGATACCCTCTGAGTTTGGGAAGCGTGATCACCTTAGAGATTTTAAATGTTAGTTATTCTGTATATCCCAAATCTCTTGCTGAGAAATCATGCCCCTAATTTTGTAATACTTGTCAATTTAATACAGTATTTATCCTAAATCAACAGAAGTTAACCACTCAATTCTCAGGATTTATTATTTTTCTTTTCTTTTATGCCATTTTAGTTTTTGTATCAACAAAACAGGCACATGTATTTTCTGGACTATTGACGAATTTCGTTTTATGTTCTTTGCCCAAGTTACATTATATTGCATGCAATCTAATTTGTGATAACTGACATTAGTTAGAATTAAATTTTGAATTGCTATTAGAATCTGTCTTTCCACTAACATTAAGAAAGTAATAGTAGTAATTTCTCACTTAACAGTATACATACTAATGTCTTCCTAATAGTATGGGATTAAGCAGTCTTCATTTGAACTTAAAACTAAACTTCATCTTTTTGCTTACAGGGTATGTCTTCAGCTTCAGAATGGTTTGCAAAGTATTTGCAGTCAACAGCAATTGCATGTTGGGTAAGTTCGAATTTTTTTTTTTTAAGTTTTATTTCACTTTGAAGAATCGTGGTACCATTTCTTATCCTAATAAATGTTTTTTCTCAAAGTACCTATCTCCTTGGTCATATTCTATAAGAAGAATAAACCCTTTCCAATGAATTGAAAGAGAACACCTAAAGAAAACATTATTCTGTATATACAAATTGAATATCTCCAAGCTGATTTGGCAACAATTGAGTGTTCATGAAACTGACCATCATTTAGTAGATGTTAATTGATGACCTAGTGTGTGTCAGGCCTTCTTCTCAATCTGCTTAGTTATTTCAGAAAAAGAAAAAAAATCCCTTCACTGAGTTTATAGACTCAGTAACTATGTCAGGCATACTAAGTGCTACAAAGGCAATAAACCAGGGTAAAGAACATGGGAGGGAAGGTGCTTTGTTACATAGGGTGGTTAGCACAACATTTCTGAGGGTGATATTTAGTAAAGACCTGAAAGAAGTGAGAGTGATCCCTGCAAATATCTAGCAGAGACCACAACAAAAGCAGAGATCAAAAAGCACGAGTTCACTGACTTGTTCATGTTTAAGAAACTAGAAGAGGACTAACGTGGCTGGGACAGAGTGAGCAGGGAATATGGAGACTCAAGAGGTGTAGGAATTGGCTCTAACAAGGACCCAGGGAGATAGAAGGATTGTTTGCAAAGGAAAACATGACCTAACTTCAGGATTTGAAAGTATTGCTGTAGCATAGAGATTAGATTTTCTTGTGGCAAGGACAGAAGTCTTAGGACAAGGGAGAATTTAGGATAATATTATAGTAATCTGAGTGAGAAAAAGGGAAACAGTGGACAAGGGAGATATGGAAATGGAGAGAGGTGTTTACCTTTTGGCTCTTCTTTGAAGACAGAACCAATAGGATTTACTGAGGAGTTGGATATGGGAAGGAAGAGAAATGAATGCACTTCAAAGTTTTTGACTTGAATAACTGAAAATGGAGCACCCTTTTCCTAATAAGAAAAATTGAGGGAAAAAAAGTTTGAGAAGTAAACTAAAAAATGATTTTATTTTATTGTTCATAAACAGATTACTTAAACAAAATGGACTAGATTTATATGATCAGATCTAATTTACAAGCACATTATTCTTCTTTCAAATGTATTTTACGTAATAGTTTTTTTTTAAATATCATGCTATATGTTTTTACTTTCTCTTCAGTTGATTGTCTTTATATTTTGGCCGAAAATTATAATTAAAATATAACTTCTTATTCTTCTTCCCACATGGAAAGTTTCTACTTAAGCTAGAGGAAAGGCATTTATAAGCAAAAGAATTAATAGAATAGATAAAATGAAGCAAAATTTTTATATCAATTTTTGTTTGGGCTATTAGTGTCATGTTAAATTTCTTTGACATTGTTTTTTGTAGATGTATGCCAATCTAACGTCTTGCCAAGCTCTTGGAAATATGTGTGTGATGAACATGAATTCTCTTGACACTGTCACATTTGATGCATGTCGACTATTTCAGTTAGTCTTTGAAAAGACTGCTGGACTGAGCACTGTTCATTCTATTTCATTTTGGTATGGACATTTTAATTGATGAAATTTAGTTTTGACCGAATTCAGTGCAGTTATTTTCATAAATATTAATAATCAGAAATGTTTCTTGTTTTTATTAAAACAATTATAATTAATTATAGGAGACAGAATCTTCCATGGCTATTTTATGGAGAACAGGCTGGATTGGCACCTCAAATACTCAGTACTGCTCCTCTTCCAGCAAATTTTAGTTTTACAGGACAAAACCAGGTACAAATTACTACATCATTAGATGATAACTGCATTTTTATCTGCAACTTTAAGTGGTAATAAGAAAGTTAACTGCTCATAATTCTTAATTTTTTAAGATTATTTTTTAAAGTTTAGTTACTAAAATATAAATATCAGTTACTTATAGAAACTAAACAGTGTAGAGCTTAGCTGTCTTACTTGAGTATATGGATACTTCTAGGATATGTGGTTATAGCATTACACATACTTGTGAAATTGTGAAGAGTAGTTTGTGCAAAACATTCTCTGTTCTCATGTGTCTCCACAGTTTTGAGAAGTGTTTCCCAAGATTGATTGGGGTCTGTGATATTTCCCAGCACTTCACAGGTCCTAATTCTCACTTCTATTTATTTTCCCAGAAGGAAAGAAGGATACCTTTCCCCTATGTTCATCCCCCATTTAACAGGTTTGAAAGGAGATTATCACTAAGCTCTCAATTCTACAATAATTTTTATGCAAAAAATAAATTCAGTTTTTTGCATGTATTTAATTATAGATATACTTAGATTAACCTAGATTCAAAATGAAATTTGAATTTAAGTTTTAACTATCAACAGTGAAAAAAGATTAGTTAATGGTGAAAATTGCTTTATAGGATATTATATTGGCTTCAGAGTATTAAACATTATTTTATTGTTTTTCTTTAAGCAGAATACAAAACTGAAGTTTGTTGCTGCTTCCTATGATATAAGAGGATATTTTCTCAAGTGGCAAACTTTAGAAGGAGGTGTTTTACAGGTGAGCATGATTCTAGCTAAAGAATTACAAATGTTTTTCATTTTTGCCTAAAGAAAAGACTAAATTATTGCTTGAAGAGTGGCAGCTATATACCAAGCTAATTTGTTTTCTGATGCTTTAAGCTAGACTTTCTTAAAACTGTTTTTAAAATAATGACTATAATTTATGATGAATATACTCCCTTAATTTTTCATTCCCTTATGATGAATATACTCCCTTAATTTTTCATTCCCTTGTACATTAAATAAGTTTTATAGCAAGCTTATGTCCAAGTGGTAGCTAAGAACTATGGAAAACACTTGTGAAAGATATTTATCAGTTATATTCTTTTGCTGTAGCTTTGTCCAGACACTGAGACAAGACTAAATGCTGCTTATTCTTTTGGAACAACCTATCAACAAAGTGTAAGTTTGAACTATATTAGTCTAAGTTTCAGCTTTATCTTTCAAACTGTCACAACAGCAATAATTGGAATAATATGTCAATATTTGAAATTGAAAATGTTTGAATAGTAAGGAGTAATTTTATTAAGCATTATAACTTTTATCATTTGGACACAGAAAATGTTAATTTAATTAGTATGAAGAGAATACCTTGGCATCTATAGAATCTTAAACATCCCGTAATGTTAAATTTTCATAATCTCGCTCTATGTTGATTTTAAGATATAATGCTAAAAAAATAAAAATTAAAATAAAAAAAATTTAAAAAAAGATATAATGCTATTTCCAATCATTTTGGAATAAAGTTGAAATGCAACTTCATTTTTTGGTGACTCGCACAAAGTTACTTCTTTACTCGACTTCCCCATTACACGTAAGAAAATATCCTTGCCAGGTGCAATGGCACATGCCTATAATCCCAGCAACTCGGGAGACTAAGGCAAGAGGATCGTGAGTTCAAAGCCAGCCTTTGTAAAAGCAAAGTGCTAAGCAATTCAGTGAGACCCTGTCTCTAGATAAAATACAAAATAGAGCTGGGGATATGGTTCCATGGTCAAGTGCCCCTGAGTTCATCCCTACCCTCAAAAAATATCCTTTTCTCTCTCCTTGGGTTCCCTTTTCTCTCCACATCTTTGTTTCTCCTTCTTGTCCTTATTGTTCATTTTGAAATTATAGTATGGTACAATGAAATATTTTGAGCTATTAAACATTTGAAAGACATTCAGTGATCTACAAAAATGCTTCTTATTAAAATATATATGCACCTATATAGAACAAAATCATAATGAAAAATATCAGTATGAAAATAGGTTGGGAGAAAATATTCATTTTGGAGTGGTTATCTTTGGATGGTTGGATTAGAGATGATTTTTTTCCTTATATTTTCCAAGTTTTCTACAATGAACACAAATTTACTTTTATTCTCAGAAATTATTTATTGTTGTTTTCTAAAAAGAATGTTATTGTGTACCTACCATGGGCTAGGAGAATCAATATTTGTTAAGCACCTGCTGCTATATGCTCAGTATTTTATCATTCTTACCCCATCTGATCCATAAAATAAGTATTTGATGTTCTTATTACATGTGCTTTACAGTTGAGGAAATGGTGCTTAATACAATGAGATAATTTACTCAAAGTCTTATATCAGGTGAACTGTGGAGTCAGTGTTCTGTTAGGATTAAAACCATGCTTATTCCACTGACCCTTGCTCCCACTCAAGTAGTTCACAGCCCAGGAGGCAAAGCAAGCTATATAGACAGAGAACTACAGAGAATGTAATGAAGTGTTACACTATAAATATGCATAAGGTACCAGTTCCCAGGGAAATACAAAAAGGCTTCACAGAGGGAGTGATACATAGGTTTATATAATGAATATGAGCTAGACAGGAGAACACAGTGGGAAAGGAAATTCGGGCAGAATCTATATTAATACATCAAAAAGTATATGGCATGGCATAGTTAGAAACAGCAATAGATTCATATGGATGGATGACCATAAACTAGTATGAAGATAAACTTAGCTGTATTAGGGGGAGCCAAATCACAGATCACTGTACATAAGGAGGAAGAATTGGGACTTCATCCCATAGGACAGTAGTTTCAAAATCCTTTCACTGATGTACACTTAATATTGAGAATGTAGGCATACCTTCTCTGTGTGAAGAACAGAGCAGTTAATGTTAGATTTTGGGGGGCACCCTTATAAAAGAATCATATTTGTGAATTCACATTTTGTAAGTCATATGGAAATGCATGTAAACAAGATAATTTAAAAATATTTATTTTGCAAAACTAAAACAAAACATTGTCTTAAGAATAACAAATATGCTTTCTAAATTTTCAATTGTGATGTTTTTATTTTTATTTTCCAGTGTGAGATTTCTATCTCTAAAATATTAGCTGACTTTCCTACTCCTGTATTTTATGATATTTATCTTGAATATACTGATAAAAATCAACACCAAAATATTTGGGCTGTGCCTGTATTAAACCTAAATCTTCAACACAATAAACTGTTTGTGAACCAAGGTAAGACATCCATACATATCATTCTTTCTCTGAGCTGAAATAATTAAATAAGTTACCCAACATGGTAATTTAATAAACCACTGATTTTAAGAAAGGTTATGGATTCTTTTTTTTTCATAGTTAGATTTTTTTTCTTATTTTTTATTAATGGACTTCTATATATTATGGCAAAATGTAAAACAATAAGATCACTTATATATTTACTAATCCTGTTTTCAGGCATATTTTTAAAAAATTTATTCTATTGCTGAGAATGTACACTGAGAAAAATTAGTAGAACGATAAATTGATTTTTCCTTAAACTGCCCTTGATCTGCTTTTTTAGACAAATTAATTCTCTTGTTGTTACCTATGCTATAAAATCTGACTTTTTCAGATAATTTCCATCCATATTAATTGAAACATTCAATCAGATGACATCGATTGAGCTGAGAAAAACAATAACTAGACATTTCTTATAGCAGTAGCTCTTTACGGCCACCTTGTCTAAAACAAAATAGTAATTTTGTATTTTAAATTTGTTTAGTAAACATTTTGAGAATCATTTTGAACAACTTGATTTTTTTTTTAATGTTATCTTGTTTTTGTTTTTCTTTTTATAATAAAAGACAGTGACCCTAGCAAGTGGATTCTGACTCGGCGCATTTTCTTAGTAGATGCAATAAGTGGACGAGAAAATGACTTAGGAAGTCAGCCAAGAGTAATTAGAATTGCTACCCAAATATCACTGAGGTAAACAAATATCTAATGACTAAATTAGACTTGGAGTATATGAGAAAATGAAAGTATTTACCAGTTAATTATCCAGTAAAGAAAACTGAACTGGAATAATACATAGGTTTTCTCAGGTAGCTGGGTAGATTAACACAGACCAATAAAGCTGAAGAGCCAAAGAGAGGATTATGTTAGGGGAGCCTGAGGAATTTGGTCAAAACTCATAGTCTAGGCCCCACTCTAGACCTGAATTAAAATGTGTTCAAAGAGTAAGGGAAGGTAAATACTGAGCTGAAATGAGTATTTTAAAAAGAGCCTGAATGATTGTTAGTTCAGCGACACCCATCCTCATACTTAATGGCTATGGTTCTAGGTCAACCCATACTAATTAGCAACACCAGAATTGTACATGTAGCTCACATTTTTTGTCTTCAATGTGAAATTCCTGTCTCTAAGATCTTAACTGAAACCCACTTTAATATTTTATGATATGTGCATTGTACATATGGATGCATTTTATGTTAGTACTTTAAAGCATTTTAATATACACTATTTTTTCACTCTTATTTTACTTTGATTCTGTTAGTAATTTTATGAGGTGGCAATATGGAAGCTTTGTCATATATCTTGCTGAAATCCAAATGTACTGGGTTTTTTTTTTTTTGGTTTTTTGTTTTTTTTTTTTTAAAGAAAGAGTGAGAGAGAGAGAGAGAGAGAATTTTTTAATATTTATTTTTTTTAGTTTTCGGCGAACACAACATCTTTGTTTGTATGTGGTGCTGAGGATCGAACCCAGGCCGCATGCATGCCAGGCAAACGCGCTACCGCTTGAGCCACATTCCCAGCCCCAAATGTACTGTTTTTAACCTTTCTTTAATCTGCTAGTATAGCATCCCTAGTAAAAATGAAATCAGACCAAGTCAGTCTTGACTTGTTCTTGATGAAACCATGCTGGCAATTTCCTTTTTGTATTCACAAGCTATACAGTACTAATGCATAATGTATCCTATTTGAGCAAAATGTAGCCTACTTTGTGCCTTAAACAGTACTTGATTTTTTAAAAATATTTTTTTAGTAGTTGATAGACCTTTATTTTATTTATTTATTTATATATGATGCTGAGAATCGAACCTAGTGCCTCACACATGCCAGGCAAGTGCACTACCACTGAGCCACAGATACAGCAATGTGACACATATTTTGTTAAGAATTATTTTTTCGATAATCAGAATATTATCTGACTTTCTATAGTCATCATGTAGCACTGCTCTTTTGATAATTCCTTAAAGATGGTTTTAAAATGCTTTCAGTGATTTCATTTGTAAACTTCATAGGACCTGGATCATAAGAGTTTCTAATTTTTTCTGAGCAAATACTCTTAACACTAAATTTTCAACCACTTAAGATTAGCTTGTTGTTACTGTTAGTTTATGTTTAATCTTCCTTAGAACTTATTAACAGTTTGGTTCTGAGATCATCATGATAACCTATTTTAAATTCAAATATAATAATAAGTGTATGTTTAAGTCCCTATGTGTATTCATAACTACAAATGCATTTTCTTTTAAATAGCATCAGCCTTGTGCCAAACACAAAAAATGGAAACATATATCCTCCCTTAATCACTATTGCCTACAATGATATTGATATCAAAGACCCCAAAAGCCAGTCTGTTAAGGCAAGTACTTTACTAATCAGTGCCCTTATATGTATAAACGTATAACTGATGTAGTTTACTTAATGGTCAAAGACAAACTTTTTTTTTCAAGTTTTTAGATAAGTTTTTCTCTTTATATAATCAAGTCTTAATTTGTTTTAACTAATAATGGTAGGAGTTGAATTTTTATGGATCCTGAGTATAAAAAAAAAAAAAGAATGGATAAAATTCTTTAGTGGAAGAGTCATTGGCAGTCAGATATCAGACATCACTGTGGGGGATCTGGGGTAGGCTGAGATAGGAAGCATCTAATTGCTCCTGTCCTTTTTGGCCACTTTGCTTCTCGTTTCCTTGCCTGATTAAACCAGGAACTCAGAAGTCATAGTGGGCATATACATGCTCACCACTCTATGATCCCCTGAATAGACATACTTTAGTAGGCAAAAAGAGATTAAAATAATCAGCTTTATAACTAGTAATGCTAAAGTGAACTGGATTTTTTTCATGAAAACCTCTCATAAAGGTCATCAGTGAATTCTACTTGACATTTATGCATCTAACACTGACTTCTTGGCCCCTTCTTTCTTGAAATGCCCCATTCTGTGACTGTGGTAAGACTTAAGTAGTTGACTCTCACCATCTTCTTCTCTTATTCTTTACTAGTTTTGTTTTTCCTCTTGCCTCTTCATATAGTGGCATCCCTATGATTCTTGTTCAGACTATTGAGTAACCTTGATATACAAGTTCATTCACATTTCTTAATTACAGAAACCTACCAGAAAATGAAAATGCTTAGTTTGACTTGAGCTGCTGTTAATAAATCTAACTAAACTCCTAATGAACCCCTCTTTCTTTCATGTGTCTAAGAAAGAAATATTTAAAGCAGCAGAAATAATTCTCAAAAAGCATATCTATTTATGTGTAAGGAAGGGTCAACTCTAGTAATATGGACAGTTAAAAAATATGGCATTTATGGTGAAATCCAACTACAAATGTATTTTTATAATAAAAGTAGGTTTATGTTATAGAATTTAGTATGACTCATTTGTTTTCTTTTAAATATCAGGTTTCTTTCTCAGTCAAATATGAAATGAATCAAGGGGAAGCATTTGTCCAGACAAATGTGCGTATATTTTAACCTGTTAAAATATTTATTACATCTTTGGGGCTGGGGTTATTGCTCAGTGGTAGAGCACTTGCCTAGCATGTGTGAGGCATTACGTTCGATTCTTAGCACTGCATATAAAATAAATAAAATAAAGGTCCATCACAAATATTTATTACATTTTTTAAATCTAAATAATTAATTTCAGATATACAAGAAAGGTGTCAAAATAGACTTACCACAAACTCTTATCTGACTTCCATTAATATTGACATCTTACATAACCATAATACAGTGATCATAATCAGGAAAAGAATATTAATGTAATCCTGGTAACTAACTGCTTTCATGGATTGTTTGGTTTTTTTGTTTTTTTGTTTTTTCACCACCCTTCTCTGTTTTAAGACACAGTTCATATCCCAGATTGCTTATAGCTGTCATGTCTTCTTATTGTCCTCCAGTCTGTGACACTTAGTATTTCTTTGTCTTTCATGACCATAATACTTTAAAAGAATACATTTTAATTATTTTGGCCCTCAATTTTTTGTTTGTCTGGTATCTTTGTATGATTAATTGATTTCATTTAGTTTTATCAAAGATGCCATGGAAATTATGTGTTCTCAATTCATGATATCAGAAGGCACATGATGTTAGTATAGTATGTCTTATTACTGGTGATATTAATTTTGTTCATGTGGCAAAGATTGTTTCTGCAGTGTTCTCATCTATATTTTTCCATTTGTAATTAGTAAGTATTTCATGAAGAGATTCTTTAAAACCATTCACATATTCTGCTTCTCTTCATTCTTTTGCCCTCCAATTTTAGCATCCATTGATGATCCTTGCTGGCAGAAAGTATTATTATTACCTGATGGTGATATTTTTTTCTATTCCCTTCATTCCTTTTGTATTTACAAATTGGAATTTTATTACAAGGAGAAGTTTTCCCTTTGTTAGTAACTCAATTATAATCCATTATTATTTATTTTGTAGTTCAAATTCTTCCAGATTTGGCCATTGGAACCTCCTTCAGTTTGGTTTCAGTGTCATTTAACCATGTCGGCCCCCAGCCCTGCGCCATTTTTTGAGTACTTTTCCCTTTCTAGTTATAGTGTATTTGAATATTGATGAAAGGAATCATATAAATTCTAAAATTTTTCTTGTTTTTTTTTTTTTTTTAGATTGCTTTGGGTGTTTTGGGTGGACTAGCCATTTTATCATCTCTCTTGAAGACAGCAGGGTGGAAGAGACGCATTGGAAGTCCCATGATTGATTTACAGGTATAATCGAAGTGTACTTTTTCTCTTTTAACTGTTCTGGATCCATCTCATAAGACAAACTATAGGATGAGTAAGGAAGTTGCCTTGAACTTTTCTGGAGTATAAATTAGGATAGGTAACATACAAAATAAATCAAAATGAAACTGGAAAAAAAGATTAGGATAAGTATTGCTGGGTCATAGGGCATATTTACCTCATTTTCCTCCCACAATGCTTTTATATCAGTCTGTATTCCCATCAGCAGTGCCATTCTTGTTTCTGCCCATTCTCACTAACATTTGATACTTTTTCCAAGCTTTCCATTTTTTATCAGTATGATGGTATATATTAGTATGTCATTATTGATTTTATTTTCACTTTTGATTCTGTATTTCTTTTTTTTTTTTGCTACTGGGGATTGAACTTAGGGGCACCTGACCACTGAGCCACATCTCCAGCCTCATTTTGTATTTTATTTAGAGACAGGTCTCACTGAGTTGCTTAACTCCTTGCTTTTGTTGAGGCTCACTTTGAACTTGCAATCCTCCTGTCTCAGCCTCCAGAGCTGCTGGGATTATAGGCATGCCACTGATCCTGGCCCTGCATATTTTTTTTTTAATCATTTGGATTTCCCTTTCTGTAAATTGCCTATTTACAATCCTTGCCCATTTTTCTATTAGATTTCCCACTTGAAATCTTTTGTATTTTCCCAAATATTAACCCCTTTTTGGTTTTTGATGCTGAAATATTTTCTCTGAATATATGAGCTATTTGTTATTCTTATCAATGAGTTTGCTTAAAAAATTTAATTTTGATATTATTACATCTGAATAGTTTTGATGTCACAGTTTGCATTGGAAAACCTTCCCATCTCAACATCAAAAAGATGACCACCCTCATTTAATTTTGTTAACATAGTTTTACTCCGCATTTAATCTTTTTAAATTTGTTTTTTAATTTAGTAAATATTTTCTGTGTGCCAGGCACTTTTTCAAGCTTTATGTATATAATTCTTTTAAACTTCACAATATAGAGATATTAGTTAGGTATTATTATTATTCTACCCATTTTATACATGATGAAACTGAGATAGAAGTTTTCTACTCAATTTTTACAGCATTTTAGCAAAAGCTATTGTTGATTTTGCTGATGAAGATTCTGAGAAAGGCTACATGGCAACTTGTTTAACCAGTATGTCTTAACTCCAAAGCCAATATGCTAAGGAATAAGAGCAGGAAGACATGATTTACTAATAGTCAAGAAATAGTCACTTCCTACAGAAGTGGATATTAAGCTGGACTGTCTGAGGCTTAATATCTGAGTTTCTGGCACTGTATCAGGCACTGGGACACAAGGTAGTGATATGTTTATACCCTAGAACTAAGAAAAGTATTCTAGAGAGAGAAAGGGAAGAATATTTGATAAAACATCTCATTCCACAAAGTATTTGAGATGGAAGTGTAGAGTGGATAGTCATTTAGTACATGATTGGAATTGGCAGAAGAAGATAAATAAAAAATTAACTTTGATTCATGTTGGAAGGGAAATTGTGGGTTAACGATTTAAGTTTCAGTGAGCACTCATGTATGTTTTTAAGAAAGGGAGTAACACATCCAATTTACATTTTAGAAAAGTAACTCTGGTGAAAGTGTACAAGGTACATTGGAATAGAGGTTCCTAACTAAGAGAAAATTTGGAATTACTCCCCTTTCTTAGTGGAACATGGGAGAGTTGAAAGGAGACAGAGCTTCCAGGAGTGAATGAAGAGTAAGGATCCAAAAGGTATATGTAGGAGGGGGCTCAGTTGGTCTAAGTAGACATGAATACATGAAACAAGACCTTGGGGCTTGAGAAAATGCATAAATGATATGTTATTATAAATAGTGTGTCACTTGAAGGGCTAAATAGATGGAGTCTTTAACATTTTTAATTCTTTTTAAATTACAGACAGTTATGAAATTCTTGTTGTACTATGCTGGTGATCTGGCCAATGTTTTTTTTATCATCACAGTGGGAACTGGTCTTTACTGGATTATTTTCTTCAAAGTGAGTGAGTTTCTGAATTTAACCTAAATGACAGTGTCTGAATAACTAGTAAGCTCTCTTACAAAGAAACTATTTTTATCTGGGGGTGTTTCTAATCAAGAGTATTGAGGCAAACGCTAAACTCATCATTCCCTTAGTATGCCATTCAGTAAGTGCATCACTATCTCCTTCTTTCACAGTTTCTTTGGTTTATACCTGGTGTGATTTTTTTGACCAAATAATTTTTATTATAGGCACAGAAGTCTGTCTCTGTTTTGCTACCAATGCCAGTTCAGGAAGAACATTTTGTTACTTATGTAGGATGTGCTTTTGCCCTAAAGGTGAGTTTCAAAGGACCGATAATAAACTAGTAAAAGTCTTCAAAATTAAAATGTTTTCAAAATCTTTGATGTAAAACTTAAAATTTAGTTTTGAAAGAAAGAATGAATTGTTTTATATAGGAAATTTGCTTTTATTTATAATAGCTCATTCCATAGTTTACCTTAAATAAAATATGTTTGGATTATCAAGAGTTATGGATAACTTAATAAAATGATATTTTACTATCTATCTTTCATCTTTAAAATCTGATGATACATTCACAATGATATAAAATGTTTCAGGCATGAAGTTTTCCTCTTTGTTAATCCAGGATGAAAGGTAACACTCTGGATAAAGTACTGAAATCTTAGAGGTTGTTTTCTCTAGTTCTTATTTCTTTCTCTTCTCTTCCCATGGAAACCCCTCCCCAACTTCAGTGTTTTCCATCTATGTCGGTGAAGCTCTTAACATGATTCTTTGGTAGATTCCATTCCATTGTATTGTGATGGTTAGGTGTCTACTTTTCCCATTGAAATAGGAGCTTCCTGAGGGGGAAAAAAAAGTCATACTTAAATTTTTATTCTTTACCAGTATTGCAGCCCCTAAAAAGAATATTCATTTTAAACATATTGATCATAAATGAAAAAGATGTTTCAACAAGTTTTTTTAAATCAATAATCTCAATACTAGAGATAAAGAGACAGAGCATCCTAACATATTAATTAGGATTAGCAAATTACAGTTAAATTTCTTTTCTTATAAAGAAGTCAGATGATTCACAAAATTTTGGGAAACTCAATTATAATTATGCAAGACACCTATGGAAAGAAGAGATAGGATGTCTTCCTTTTTTGTTTGTTTGTTGGTTTTAAGGAAAGAATTAATAGATGTATGACAATTCTGTGAATTTGATAATTCTAGGTTATGTGATGAGCTTCTAGTGACTCCCTAATGATATTAGAACTTCATATGAAGTCACTTGCAAAAATTCTATACTCTTCATCATTTCAGTTTGTTTCTTTTAAAAAAATCAATATTGATTTCATACACAGGCTTAATGCTGATACTTTTCACATGTTTTATTGTATGTCATTTTCAGGCTCTGCAATTTTTGCATAAGATCATATCCCAGATTACCATAGATATATTCTTTATTGATTGGGAGCGACCGAAAGGAAAGGTTCTTAAAGCCGTTGAAGGTAACTGAAATAAACATTTGTACCAAATTTTTTGCTACTCTTGCAGAGCAAAGAAGATGAATTGCCTTTATTCATTTTATCTTTCCAACCAGGTGAGGGTGGTGTACGGAGTGCCACTGTTCCTGTAAGCATATGGAGGACATATTTTGTAGCAAATGAATGGAATGAGATTCAGACTGTAAGAAAAATCAATCCACTTTTTCAAGTACTTACTGTGCTCTTCTTTTTGGAGGTATAAACTGTTTGATGTAATTCTATGCAACTTACTGGTATCTCACAAATGTTAATATAATTCCAACTAAGTTTTCATGATAGTGGAGGAGATTTTTATAAGTTGAAATATTATTATAAACACATTAAAAAGCAGTTGTTTTGAAACAAATTTGGGGACCTCTGCTTTCATCTTTTCTTCTTACTGTAAAATAGACCAAAAGAAAAAAGTTGTGGTGAAATACTTACAAGAAAGTTTATCCTCTTGCCCATTTTTAAGTGTATATAATTCAGTGGTGTTAAGTATATTCACATTGTTATACAAAACCCTCACCTCCCTCCATCTCCAGAAGTTTTCATCTTAAAAAACCTGAAACTCTATACCCATTAAACAACTCAATACCATTACCTTGTCCCAGTGCCCCAAACCCATTCTTCTTTCCACCTCCATGAATTTGAGAACTCTAGGTATAATTTAAGCCATTGGTTTATGTCAGAATCCCTGGGGGAAGTTGTGTAAAATATCTATGCTCCTTACCTTAGAGATTATATTTCATTAATAGCTCTGAGATAAGCACAGTTATCTATATTTTGAAAAACTCCTCTCTACCATACCATATTGTTACCCCTGCATTAGAATCATTATTATAAGGTTGATATTTTTCAACCAATTATTACTGAATATCTATTTCAGACTATGTTCTGTGCTAAACGCTGGGGCTACAACTGAACAAGATATAACACTCTTAGTGTACATTTATGCTTTTTTCATGGATCTGGTTGAGATTATCAAAAGAAGCATTTAGTGCTGGAATATAAGACTGAAACATGGAAAAAGATCTATCTTTATGAATGACTGGTTTTTCCAGGAATTATCTGCCTTAATGTTGGATATAAATTAATTCTTATTCTGTTTTCTTTTTTTCCATCTTTTCTTTTTTCTATTTCTTTCCTTTTTTGGTGTGGCAGGGGTAATTGGTGATTAAATCCAGGGGCACTTCACCACTGAGCTACATCCCCAGTCCTTTTTTATTTTTTATTTTGAGACAGGGTTTCATTAAGTTGCTGAGGGTTTTGCTTAAGCTGGCCTCAAACTTGGGATCCTCCTGCCTCAGCCTCCCAGGTTGCGGAGATTACAGGCATATGCCACTGTATACAACCCTTCCTTTTCATTTTTAAAAATAATAGAAGAATGCATGTGTCCCTAGAGCTTTGAAATAATATTTAAATAGTTCAAAAACTGAGTTGAATTAGTGCTTTTATTTAATTGGCAAGGAAAATGTTATATATATTTATAAGGTACAATGTGTATTAATATGAATACATTATGGAATGGCTAAATGTAGCTAATTAGCGTATCTATTACTTCACATAATTAGCTATCTTGTTTGGTAATGTAGTGGTTTTTGAGGGTGTTTGGGGGTGTTGCGTGGTCGAGGGATGTGGTGGCTCACACGTGCAATCCCAGAGAGTAGGGAGGCTGAGGCTGGTAGATCACAAGTTCAGAGGCAGCCTCAGCAACTTCTCAAGGCCCTAAGCATAGCAAGATGCTATCTCAAATAAATGAATAAAACAAGTTGGGGTGCAGCTCAGTGGTAAAGCACCTCTGGGTTCAATCCCTATATCAGAAAAAAGAACGTTGCTGGGTGTGGTGGTACATGCTTGTAATTCCAGTGGCTCAGAAAGCGGAGGCAGGAGGATCACAAGTTCAAATCCAGTCTCAACAATTTAGCGAGCCCCTGAGCAGCTTATCGAGACCCTGTCTCCAAATAAAATATTAAAATAAAGTGCTGGGGGGGTGTGGCTCAGTGGTTAAGTGCCCCTCTGTTTAATGCCCAGTACCAAAAAATAAATAAATAAAATCCCAAAACAAAGACTGGTGAGCTTTAAAAGGTGTTTCATGATAAAGAAATTTTATGTCAGTTAATCTTGTAAAACACTTAAATCAACAAAATGATTTAGAAATCTTACACTAAAACTTCTCAAAGCCTTTATCCCACAGGAGTGGGAAGCATGGAGGTAAATGTAATTTACAAATCAAACTTATTTGACCCTAGCCTCTTTTCATCAAAGAAGATATGTTTAGAAGACATTTTGGAATATACTATTTTAAAGGAGAAAAAGTAGCTAATATATTGCCTGACAAATGTTAAATCCTCATGAACTGCTACTTGTTAGTTTAACTCAATGATAGTTTACTAAAGAAAGTTTATTTTAACAATTTTCTTTTTTTATTTTGCCAGTAGATAGGTCAAAGTTATATTTGACCCTTATGTGTATCAAGAAAAAAACCAAATGAGCTAACAAATATTGTGGAGTAAATACTTTACAATTTAAATACTGGATTAATAGGAATGGAGATGTGGCTCAATGGTGGAGTGCTTACCTAGCATGCTCTGAGACACTGAGTTCAATCCCTAGCATGACCAAAAAAAATTTTTTTTTAATATACTGAATAATAATTACTTTTAACCTAGACTTTCTACTGTTTACAGACTTGTATATTTAATTCTTTTATGTTGGGGAATAGAAAAAAATATTCCATTTTCAGTCTGGAAGAGTTTTTTTTTTATTCATGTCTGTTTAAATTATTATTTTCCCTTTTTATTTCAGGTTGTGGGATTCAAGAACTTAGCATTAATGGACTCATCCTCTAGTCTTTCTAGAAACCCATCTAGCTACATAGCTCCCTATAGCCGCATCCTGAGATATGCAGTGACTACTGCTCTTTGGCTAGTCATTGGAATTATACAGGTAATAAGAGATTATACTTTTAGATAACATTGTTTCTCTGTACCTCTGCTTGCATAGTAATTATCCTCAAATAGTGACCATATACTGATTTCAACAGCAGAAGAAAGGTGATAAGAACAACAATAATAGCTAACTCTGTATTGTATTATAATGCAAGCATTGTGTTAATCATTTCATTGCTTTCCATATATTAACTACTTAATCTTTACATTAACCCTCAGAGATAGGTTCTGTTGGACCCTTATTTTGCAGGTGAGGAAACGTGGGGCATGAGAAGATTAAATAGCTCAGAGTTATGTAAAAATCATGCAAATTCATAGTTTGCAGAACTAGGTTGGAATCAAGCATCTTGATTTCAGAGTTCATGTTCTTGTTACTAGTGGGCTCTGAAGGGTCTTTCAGGATCTATAGCTTTCTAGTCATAGGATGGACCCCTTGTCTAGTTTATGTGTACTACAGGACAATTATGCTACCCTAAGTATTCTCTTTTCCTTTGAAACGTAGTTTATTGTTACATTTATTTATGTGTCATATACTCAAGCTGCAAATATTTCTTTTGAAATATTTATTGAAATAACCAAAAGTAAAAATAATCCTCTCAGCCTCAGAGTCCCATGGCTTTAGTAGAGTTTTTTTTTCCAATGCTTGCTTTCCTTATCCTCTTAAAGTAAAAAGAAAAAGCAGCAACTAAAATACTTAACTCTAATAATCTGTACTTCTCTCTTTTGCTTCCAGCTGCTCCCATGAATAGAAGAGAGTTTTTCTGTTTAATTAAAATGTTCTTTTATAAACAGCAAATGAAGATGAGACCTCTAGAGTGAATAGGTTTAACTTCCTATACTCTGGTTAATAAGTGTATACCTAAAGCAGCCTATTTTTAAGGATATTTTGGGATTAAAGTCGCTTTAATAGAGCATATTCCTACGGAATTGGATCCAGGTGGCATTGTATAACCTGAGAATTGACTTTTTAAATTGATATTTATGGCTGGGCACTGTGGCGCAGGCCTATAATCCCAGCAACTCAGGAGGTTGAGGCAGGAGGATCTCAAGTTTAAAGCCAGCCTCAGCAAAAGTGAGGGGCTAAGCAACTCAGTGAGACCCTGTCTCTAATAAAATACAAAAAGAGCTGGGGATGTGGCTCAGTGGTTGAGTGCCCCAGAGTTCAATTTCTGGTACCCCAAAATAAAAAAATACAAATAAATTGACACTTATTATGAATTTTTAAAAAAATTTTAAAATTATAAATTGATGAGATTTGGTCAAACTTAAAGCTATAGGGATTTAGCTAATAAGGGAAAGTTAATAACCAAAAAGGAAAACAAACAAATTAGAATTTGAAATAAGGTGGATTAAGAGTATGGAGTTTAATGTTTATCATCAATATAATAGTAAGGAAATATTTTGTACATGTACCAGTATTTTTGTGAATATATCAGATGTCATCTGATATAGAAAATTTAAAGGAATATTATCTGAAACGTTCCATATTAGGTTGAATGTAACAGAAACAAAACAAAATAGGAGTGACTGAAATGAAAGAACTTTGTTTTTCCCATGAAAAGGAAGAGCAAAGATGAACAGTGCAGGACTAGAATTGTGGCTTACTACTGCCATCGGGATACAGAAAGCTGTTCAGCTCTGTCACCTGGGTCTTCCATCTCTAAGGTCATATGATGGTCCATAATGACTGGGTTGCAGAAAGGAGCTAGGGGAGATTAATTCACCTTCCCATTTTTAAGAGCCTTTCAGAAGTGCCATCCAGCTTCTCGTTGGCTAGAACCTGGTCATTTGGCTATACCTGGCTACACTGGAGTCTTTTGGCTGGGCATTTGTGTGGGTCCTGCTCAAAGGATTAGTCTGTTATTAAGGAGAAAGAGTAAAGAATTGTTGGGACAGCCACATGCCACTACCTAACCTCATTCTTTGCTTCTCATTTCACTGTCAGACTGATGTCTCCCCTTGGTAATATTCTAATATTTCAGTGTTTATTCCTCAAATATCCTTGTGAGTTTCTTAATAACTTGTTATGGCCTCATAAATGTGTATAAATATTTCTGAATTGTAATAATCTGTTAGGCTTTTTTATTGTTCAGTCCTTTTATTTCTCTTAACCTAGCTTCTTCAGCTTTTAAGTGGTATTCTTTAATTTTTAAATTTCGAATGTTGGTGTTTTTCATGTTCTTCAGAGGAGCTTAAAAATATGTATGTGGAGTGTTTCAGAACATGTTCTTAATAATCAGCTGCTGTAGATTCACTTATTTATTCATTTGCATATTTGAATACATCTTATATAATAGATACTGTGCTGATTCATGGATATGCTATAACAAGAACTAGTTATGGGTTATAACACTATAGAGATTTGGCAGGAAATAGTGAACAGAGGTGAGGGGAATGGGGATCGGGAATGGGGGACAGTAGTGACAGCTTTAAATAGGATAGTTAGGAAATGTTATCTTTCTCCAAAACCTATATCTAAAAAGGTCTACAATGTAAAATTTTTTAATTTGTAAAATTTCCCTTTCTAGTGTTGTTAAATCTAAGAAAACACTGAAAATCAATCCATTTGCATAGTTAACACATCTATTGTCAAAATAGAATACTAAGATATATACATTTTATGTGGTATTCTATCAGAGAAAATTAATTTGAAAAGCACAAATTTCGAATGACTTTTGGAATCCAGGAGATGAATAAAATTACAGAACCAAAGATAAATCTGGCCATTAGAACATGGATCCATCCTAAATTTTTAAATTTTTTTTTCTCTCTTCATTCAATTTGTCTTGTTTAGACACAGAAAAGTTTTTAAAATTTAAAATGGGGTCCCTCAAAGACCCTTAACACAAAATCTTTGTTCCTTTGACATACAGTCAGAAACGCCAAGTAGGATCTTATCCCACAGGAAGCATTAGAGACCACTGTGTTCCTGGTTGGAACTTCTTTTTTTTTCTTAAAATACTATGGTATGACTATAAAAGAAGATTGAAATCCTAAAAGCTAATAAGCATGAACTTGGCTTAATGTTTCAGATTGTGTTCTTTGCTGCTTTTTATGAGAGATTTGTGGAGGATAAAATTCGACAATTTGTTGATTTATGCTCTATGAGTAATGTAAGTACTTTTTGACTTTATCTTGCAACTGTCATTTTTCTCTTTTTAAAGGTTATGAATAAGCCAGGCACACACCTGTAATCCCAGTGACTCTGGAGACTGAGGCAGGAGGATCACAAGTTCAAATCCAGCCTCAGCAACTTAGTGAGGCCCTAAACAATTCAGCAAGATCCTGTCTCTAATAAGACATAAAAAGGCTGGGAATGGCTCAGTGGTTAAGTGCCCATGGGTTCAATCCCTAGTACCAAAAAAACAAACAACAACAACAAAAAACAAAAGCTATGAATACATTAACAGAGGCTTTTAAAGTGATTTGGTATGATTGGATTTTTAGTCTGATTTTCACTGGCTTTTAATTTCAGAGATAGTTATAATGAGCTACAAATTAATACTCACTGTCTTAGTTTGTTTCTTCTTTATTTGCAGTTCCTAATTATGAATTTATTTTGCTGCCAAATATTTTATTTATCCTCTTGCCTCTGAAAATTTTTATGTTTCGAAAAGTCTTCCTTTCTTAGAAAATATCTTCAAGTCTTCTTTCCATCTACTTTTTAAAAATAACCTCATTATCCTTTATTACTTTGTTATCCCTTTTATATATTTCCTAAGAATTCAATTTTTATTATTTTGGGAGAAAGGAAGTAATTTTAAGAAAAATTAATTTTTAGTGTTTTGCTGGTGAATTGCTAATTGTTCATTTTCTTCTCTTTTTATAGATATCGGTGTTTCTGTTATCCCACAAATGTTTTGGATATTACATTCATGGTAGATCAGTTCATGGGCATGCAGATACTAATATGGAAGAAATGAATATGAATCTTAAAAGAGAAGCGGTATGAAAGTATTTTACATTTTTTGTTTGTAAGTTGAGAGATGGATTCTCTTTTCTTAATCTAGGATTTATAATAATAGTTTTTAAAAATCCTCATTAGTCAGTTTTGAAAGTTGCTAGGCTACCAGTTTATTACCATGAACATTAGTCAAGGAAAAGAACCTAATTTTATCCGGCAGTTCATATAGAATTCTGTGTAATTCCACATCTGAATAATACACAATATAAAAGTTCTTCCTTATAAATTAGACAGTAACCATTTTTTAATAACTAGTGAATTAATGAGAGTAGGCAGCAGTCATCAGTGGGTGTCAAAACAATTAAGTGAATATTGATGGGAACTTTATAATGAGGGATCAGGTTGTCATAATCTGGACATACTTAGTCAGTTTTTTAGTAATTAAAATGAAGGAAACTGACATTATACACTTCCTAATATGCTATGGGAGGATGTTCATAACAATACCTGTGAAGTATTCTTGCCTGAGAAAATTGGACCTGAATATAATCAAGCCTTACTGTTTTACAGGAAATACAAGGAATATAATTACAATTTAAATACATTTTAAATAGCATCATTGGAAGTAATTAGCCAGATCCAGAGTATAGATGCCTCATAGGACAAATGACTCAATGTCTCCAAACAAACTAGTGACATGTAAAGAAAATGGGGGTGACTGTGGTGTTGAAGGTCTGTTATATACTAAGAGAGGTTTAAGAATCGAAACAATCAAAAACAGTGTATGGGCTTTATTTTGAATTCTTATTCAGGCGAACCACTATAACAAAAATCTTTGGAAAAAACCTGAGATTTATCTGTTAGTTTATTTTTATTTCTTTTTAGAGATATGTTTTTAGTAGAGCAAAGAAGACAATATAAAGAGCTATAGGGAAGTATGAACTAGAATGAACTAGAAATCAGTAAACTGGAAAGGAGTGGGAACCTTGAATAATGTTAGAATCTCTTTTCTTCAAATTCTTCAGTAAACTTTACAAGGCTTCTAAATCTTGGAGTATATGATACCAACTAAAAGTAAAATATGTGTTTTCTTTTTGAGATAGGCAGATTTTTATAATTTCCATCTTAATTTTAATTCTTTTAACTTTTCAGGAAAATTTGTGTAGCCAGAGAGGTTTGGTGCCCAACACAGATAATCAGACTTTTCAGATTGCAGTTTCTGGCCAGATGAGACAACACTATGACAGAATTCATGAGACTTTGACAAGGGTTTGTATAGAGTACTGTTCAGATACATTTTGCCAATAGTTAATGTTACTTCAATACCAAGAACATAAAACATGTTGTATTTATTTATTTCTCTTTTTTATGTTAGAAAAATGGCCCTGCTAGACTATTGAGTTCATCAGCAAGTACTTTTGAGCAGAGTATAAAAGCATATCATGCGATGAATAAATTTCTTGGCTCTTTCATTGATCATGTATGTATATCAACATTTATATTTAAGCTAGGATCAAATGCAATTTTTATAAAGCTAAGAGCAAATGTCAGTTATAATTTGAGTCAACCAAATGAGTGAATTTTCCTCTTTTGTCTGTCAAATTTAATATGTAGGAATGATTTTTAAAAAGATATTTGTAGCTACTCAATTGCGATTTAACAATGTTAGGTTATATAAAAGAAAAGTATGAGTTTATGTGTTTATTAACAAGTGAAGAGTCCTATAAAATAATCTATACTAGAATTTTTTTAGCAGGTTACCAAAATATTACTATATTACTGATCATACTGAGTTACGTTTATGTTATGCTATAATTGCATTCCAAAAATTCTGTAAATTGATTTTCAGTATATCTAGCCATAAATGCTACTTGTAGTAGTATTTAAAACTTAAATACAGCATTTAAAATTTAAAACATTCATAAAGAGAATTTTGTTCTAGAATTCAGTATAGTACATTCATTTTGAAGAACAGATTTTCTTTGTGTACTATTCATTTTCCCTATTTCTTATTTTGCATTAATTGGAAATCATTTATTTCACTACTATTTTTTATATGACTGTTTTATGTTAGGTTCATAAGGAAATGGATTACTTCATAAAAGACAAGTTGCTTCTTGAAAGAGTTCTTGGAATGGAATTCATGGAGCCAATGGAAAAAAGCATCTTTTACAATGGTATACTTCAAATACCTTTGCTGAACTTGTTTATTATTTTCAAAGTTTAAGGGGAAAAGACTTGTGGTTATTTTTCCTGTGATTTTTATGATTTTATATGAAAACAGGGAGACATCATGAACTCAATTTCATGAAACTATGATAATTTTCTGTGTTATGTAGCAGGAAGCAGATAGATAAAAGATTCTACAAGAAAGCAAAAGAGATGAATTTCAGAATCAACAGTACACACTCAAGAGAAAGTAAAACAAATACATAAGATTTACTTTTTATTAGAATGTTCATTCAATAGCAGACTTTTAGAAACATTTAAAGAAAGAGTAACATTTGTGTTTAATCTTCAATATCTGATTCTTTATTTTGTCCAGGTTCTTCAAAAATCACTGATGTTTGTAATGGGAATAGTGATTAAACCTGGTTTTTAATTTATAGAAAAATGGTATATATCTTACTTATAATGTGACTAATAACCTGTTATTATAGATTTGTAAGAATGAAAATAGTATAACTAGCATCCTGGTCTAGATATCCATGTGTATTTCATGCCACATGTTTTCCAGTCCTGGGATATATAGACTCATTAATGATCTGTGGAAGATGGGCATGTGAATGAGTAAGTAGAGTGTTCTGGGATAAAAGTCTGTGCAGGCACAAGTTACATCAGGGACAGAAAAGCAATAAAAAAAATTTAACCAGATAGGGTGAATTCAGAAAAGGCAACATGGAGAAGTTTGAACTGGATGCTAAAGTGTAAATAACTGTTTGTCAAACAAGAGTGTTATGGTCTCCCTTACCAGAGAGAGACACACAAATACATTCATGCAGAAGAGAAAGGAGATTTTTTTTTTTAAGAGAGAGAGAGAGAATTTTTTAATATTTATTTTTCAGTTTTTGGTGGACACAACATCTTTATTTTCTTTTTATGTGGTGCTGAGGATCGAACCCAGCACCCCGAACATGCCAGGCGAGCGCGCTACCGCTTGAGCCACATCCCCAGCCCAAGGAGATTTATTTTTAAAGTCTATAAAATGCATTCTGTACTTTAGACTTTTAGTAGTCTAGTATGAAGTAGGCCACAGTGTAGAAGAGTCTAAAATTTTTGCCCCACCTTCTATAAGTAAGTTGATCCACATATGTGTGAGAAGAAAATGTTAAAATGACTATTCATGTATTTGTAATTTCATCATTCTTAATTTATATTTTTAAAAAATCATCATATAAAATAATTAATAAAATATATCTACTATGGTAGCATGCTCAGAATTTTATTCTGATAGGGATATATGACCAAAATAATTTGAAAGCCTCTGCTAATGAACATGGATATCATTGAGGCCTCCTACTCAGATCTGATTTGTGAATTGGATGAATTACTTTGGCATATGGTACAGGTTGAGATAGAGATGAGCTTAGTCATTAAGAATTTAGCTTTCACAGTCTTCTGGTCTTGATTCAAAATCTGAGGCTATCATTCACTAGCTTTGTGAACTTGAGAAACTTGCTTAACCTTTCTGAATTTTAATGCCCTCTCTATAAAATCAGGTCTGACCCCTCTCAAGGTTTTATGGGATTACCATGTAGAAAGAACCTAGAACAATACCTGTTATGGGTAGACACCTAGGAAAGGGATGTTGTTACCATTTCTAATAACACAGTCATCATTTTTGTACATTCTTCTTTCTTTTTCTTCTTCCTTTTTTCCTTTCCCCTTTGTTGTTCTTTGTCCTTCTCCTTCTCTCTTCTTCTATGTGTCTTCCATCTTCAGCAGGAGATTATGAAGACATGGGCTAAGGCAGTAGAAATGGGAACTGAGAAAAGGAAACATTGCCAGAGATGTTAAGGGGGAAAAAACTGTAGAAGCAAAAGTGTAGACGAAAGTTATCCATACTTCCAGCTTATGTGACTAAGTAGATGTTAGTGTTGCCTTTCTCAAAGTCAGGGAATGTAGATGGAAGGACCAGGTTTTGAGTGAAAGCGTTTGAATTTAGTTTTGACTATGTTATATCTTGAAGTACTTTGAGACATCAAGGAACAGGTATCCAGTAAGACATTAAATACAAGGGACCAGATCTTAAGAGAAAGTTAAGGGCAATAATAAGCTGAGGAACTGCCGTTGTATGATGTCATTGATGGAGTGATGTGGATCACCAGGGAAAATGTGTAAGACAGATTTTTTACTTAGATATACACAAACATAATATGCATAGAGAAGTACATGTTTTGTAAGGCTGTAGCTGATAGGTCATTGAATTTTCCCAAACTGAATATACTCCCATAACCTAGCACCCAGATCATGACAGAACATTTCCTGTACCCTAATGTCCCTCATATGACTGAGGCTCCTCACTGTGTATCCAGAGTGGCATTGGTAGTTCTCTGAACCTCCCAAAAATTGTATGCAGAATTTGTATATTTGTACTTTCTTCCTTTTTCTTTTTCCTATTGAAAAGGTCTATAGTGTTCATTAAATCTTTTTAAAAGGGTGTTCATATTCCAGAAAGGACAAAATCCACTTGTTGAGTTAGAGATTTTTCTTTTCTTAACTCACTCTACCTTAGAAGATCTTTCTAAGATTAATGTATCCTTTAGTTAGATAAAGAAATACAAAAAGGGATATTCATTTACTGGTCTTTGCAAGGTATTGATTATATACTTATACTACTAGCAATTGCCAATCTTTGTTAAAACTGCTTCTTTGGAGTTTTTATGAGTTCTTTGACTAACCTTTTAAATTAGCAAATCGTAATACCTTTTGCTTATTTTTTTGTAAACTATATTATAATGTAATACTTGCTTCTAATATGCTGTTTTTAAATTTCCAAATTGTATCACCATAAATTTATCACGGATTTATTTTTTAAATTTCTCACATACCTTATAAATTGTTTTTTAATAGATGAAAGTTATTCCTTCAGCAGTATGCTATATTATGGAAATGAAGCCACTCTTCTTATTTTTGATCTGTTGTTCTTCTGTGTTGTGGATTTGGCTTGCCAAAATTTCATTTTAGCAGCCTTCCTTACATACCTACAACAAGAGGTAAATTTTACAATTTTTTCTGGATTTCTTTTAAAAGAAATAAATTGGAAGTAGGTATTTATTTGCATTGCAGAGAGTAAGACATCTATAAAGAATATAATTCTTACCAATTCTTTAGAATATGATTAACCTTACCAAAAGAAGGGCTACAGCTGACCACATTCTGCACCATGTCCTTAGGATCAGTGAACTACTAGGGTCTAGTGGAAGGCATAAGTTGCTTCAGAAGGTGTGAAAGAAATCTGGTAGAAAGATACTTAATTGCCTGACTCCTAGATACCAAAAGTTAACAGTAATTTAAAAGAGAGTCCCATTCATAACAAAAAGAAAAGCAAGCAATGGATATCTAGCTCAGGAACTCCCTACTGAAAAGCTCCTTTACCTTGTTGTGGATAATAAATAACTATGTAAGTAAAATCTCTGAAATCGAGATTTTAAGAAATGGTAAATCTGTGCTTCTGGAAATATTGTTAGTAAAATCACTCAAGTATTTTCCACTGTATGAAGGATGTTTATGAGTGATAAGATGTAATTTATTAGTCCTTGTTAGAGATCTAAAATTCTGAAAAAAATTCTGTTCATACTAAATAGATTATTTTGATATTTCTATGGCTATTAGAGTTAGAAAAAAGTTGACTCTCCAAAATTTAACAGTATATTCCCGTGAACATGAGAGATTTACATTAATTCATAAACATATCATCTAAATAGGAACATGAACAGCTTCAGTATTATGAAGGATGATAATAGCTTTGAAATAATTTTGTGTATCACCATACAACTCAGAAGTCTAATATATGAAATTAATTGAAAGAATTAGCTAATTCAATTCAGATGTTTTATTTGATGTGCATATTTAATTTTCTTGATAAATATTTCATTCTCAATTGTTTTAATGTTGCAGATTTTTAGATTTATTCGTAATACAGTAGGACAGAAGAATTTGGTAACCAAAACATTGGTGGATCAAAGATTTCTGATTTAACTTATTGATCATATAAGGACTCAATATAATCATGGCAAAGAAGTCATGATATCAGGTTAGTCTGGCATATTTTTTAAAATCTATATTACATATTATTCTGGTTTTAATTATTTTTTATCTATAGATTTATTTTTATAACTTGTCTATGATCAATATAATGGAAAGTATTATTTCCCATTATGTGTGGTATTTAATTCACTAAATAACACTGAAAGGCTAAAAATCTAAATGTTGCTTTCAGAAAAACAATTCTTAACAGTAATCAAAATAATTCATATCATTTGTACTAAAGATCTTTTATAAATTGCTTTACCTACATTTTCTTACATTGACAAAATTATTTGACTCCAAGTTCAAGACTAATTTTCAGTTTAATATTTATGTTTTATTTGCACTTATGGTTAAATAAATGTTGAAAGATATTTTCAAGTTCATTTAGAAATTGCAAATTGTATTATTTTTGATTCACTTTGCCTCATTCTAATTGTTCACCTATGCCTGTGTACAATACTCTTTTCATGAATTGTGTTGATATCTCTAATGTGGTTTACATTTATTGTTATAATATCTGGCATATTTCCCAATATAGTTTTTTATACATTTTCAATTAGTTTTTAAGAATACTTCTGCATTTTGTCTTTTTAATTTTGTTAAAGATAATAAATAACAGACTGTAAGTTGATCATATTATGTTGCCAAAGAGATTTATTAAAAGCAAATTTATGCTTCATAAGTCAGTAAACTTTTAAGAAGAAAAAATAAACTAGGATTCAAAATATAAATAAAATAAGTTCTGAAACATATAGCTGATAATTTTCCATATTTTCCCTCAACATACCCTTTAATAATTCTTCTCATGGTATACCCATGTACTTGAAAGCTCTTCATGGTCAAGTATAATAGTCATTAACCCCTAAACCAACATTTTTTACTGCTAACTATGATGCTATGTAAATATGTAAATATAATTCTATGTAAATATTATTAATGTTTCTGAATTGAAATATGTAATAAAACATTTTGTGTTACTGTTGGATTAATTTATGTTCTGTGAATTAGCATTCAGGAATATAGCACTATTGGGGCAGGATTCCCAGCCACTGCCAAAGGTGAATCTTTCACTTTTCCCTGAATCTCAAGGATCACTGAGAAAAAGAAGGAGAGCTAGTAAATTGAGTCTTTGAAATTCAAGTCTAACAGTACAGGAATGTCTTTATAAAAGCTTCAGAGATAAATAAATGTACCAGCATAAATTTCCACTCAGAAGGATGTGAAAGAAATTCAGCCTTCATTCCACATATGAAATGTTATTATTAATATGAATGTTTTTAAATAGTAAATTTCAAAATACCAGATTGGGTGACTCCCTTGCTAATAAATTAAAACAGAAAACATTTTAAAATCATTCTAAATTAGTTTTGTACAATATTTTTATTTTGGTTGGATACCTGACAATTTGTTTAGCTTTTCATGCACTGTTGAGTTCTTTGTTCACATTGCCACAGTTTTGCACAATAGACATTATTTTTCCAGTAGGTCAATTACCTTTGTCTCTTTTTATAGCACCTAGAAACATTTACTACATCTCTTCATTGTTTCATAATGAAACAAACCATAGAGAGGTTGCCGCAGTCTGGCTGGGCACAATCAGGAGCCACTTGTCAAAAGAAACTAACTTTATTTTTAGAACCAAACACGCCAAACAAACAGCCTCTCAGGAAAAACCCCTCAGAGCCTCAACTGCCACCACCGGCTTTCCACAAGCCTGTCTCTCCCCCCACAAGCTTCTTTCCACCTCCCACAATCCTCCTGCTCTTGAGGCCGATTGGCTGGGTCACGTGGGCAGAGCCAAAAAGTCCCCCAATGAGCAGCTCCGTGGTCTGAAAGGGCAGGGAAACAGTCCAATGAGCATCACCGCAGAGGAGCCAATCAGCTAGATGTTGCTGGGGCCGAGGAGCCAATCAGCTAGATGTTGCTGGGGCCGCTGTGAGCCAATCATCAGCCGGCAGCTGGATTGCTGGCAGCTGGAAGTTTGCTGGGGCCCCTTCGGCTGTGGCTCTCAACAGAGGTTATTTAAAGGATATTTTGTATTCTCCTTAAAATACATAGGTACTCAAAATAAGTGCCTCTGCTGTGAGAGATGTATGTGCTTGCAGTCATTGCTGTCCATACAACTTCCTTTTGAGAAGGCCTAGTTAGTCTCATGGAGGAGGAGCATTCATAATGATCGTTAACTCAGTGTTTGCAAGCATGAAGCATATATCTTGGCTAAAAGTACTGATTGATATAAGCTGAGGGTTAATAAATATGTCAGTAGGACACTGACCAATATGGCGTAATGGAAAAACTTCAGATTTATTAACAGAAGCCCTGAATTCAAATTAGGGTTTTGCCCCTATCAGGAGCTTTGGCACTATGAACAAATTTATTTGGCATTATTGGCATTATTAACTTCATTCTGCATCTCTACAATGGAAATAATACCCTTTGCTTACCACTAGGGTGTTTTAAGGATTAGTATATTAAAATATATCTACAATATGAGACTGGAGATGTAGCTCAGTAGTAGAGTGCTTACCTTGCATGCAGAAGGCACTGCGTTCTGTCCACAGCACTGCAAAAAATAAATGTATTAATGAACTGGGTGCACACCTATTATCCCAGTGGCTTGGGAGTCTGAAGCAGGAGGATTGCAAGTTTAAAGCCAACCTCAGCAACTTGACAAGGCCCTAAGCAACTTAGCAAGACTCTCTCAAAATAAAAAATGAAAGGGATGGGAATGTGGCTCAGGGGTAAAGCACCCCTGAGTTCAATCCTCTGTACTAAATAACAAAAACAGAGAATAGACTATGAGCACAATTATGGAATTCTTATAATTATTAGCCTAAAATATCTGCCTTGAAACATATTTTCTTTCTTCCTAGCAAATTAATTTCATAATATTAAAATTCAGATTACTCATCTCAGTAATAGATCAATGCAGGCAAATGCTGAGCCATCCTCCTTCTTCAGCCACTCCGGTCTCGCTAGGAAGAGGGCCTGGTGATGTGACAGCCATAAAGGTGAAGGAAGGGTGGCAAGGAAGACGCTATCATCACCCCATATTGGAGACATGGTGGGAAAAAAAGGGGGGAAGAGTGGAATATTGTTTCTGGAAGAGAGGTTTTCTTTTATTTATTCATTCCTTCATTCAAACAATGTTTCTTATCTCTTCCCAGCTCCTTGGAAGTGTCTTAAAATTAGCAGAGGAAACAGGAATTTTAACCGGTAATTACAGTGATAAGGGCTGCAATCATGAGGATGTGATAATGAAGAAAGCTCTTAACTGTGCGTCTGGGTCATCAGGGCTTTGGCCTTAGAGAAGTGGTATTTAAGATTTAAAGATAAAACAAAAAACCAGTGCATCCAAAGCAAGAAATAGTGTGAGCTCTGAGATCAGGAAACACATGGCAGTTTAGAATACTATAAGGTAGTCTGAATATAGAGTACACATATTGTTTGCATTTTATAATTTTCTATACATTGTGATGTTTTGACTTTTTTTAAAAAAATAGTAGGGGTTGAATCCAGGGGATGTAGCTTATTTCCAGCCCTTTTTTATTTTTATAATGAGAGAGGGGCTCTCACTAATTTGCTTAAGGCCTAAGTTGCTGAGGCTAGCCTAGAACTTGTGATCCTCCTGCCTCAGAGTTCTGAGTCACTGGGATTACAGGCATGCCACCACACCAGGCATGTTTTGATATCTTTAAAAAACTTTCTGCCTTGGGAGAGACTGCCTCTTCTGGGGCTAGCCAGTTCTTAGAAGTTAGCAAAGGCTTTTGTATTTGCTTTTGATATACAGACGAATCAGTCTTGGCCCACACTCCAGGAAAAATATATTTCTCTGCCTCAATCATTCCAGGGCCAGGAAACAAGCAACCAGGAACTACCCCTGGTTTAGAGCTGCTGAAATTATTAAAACTAGCCAGTCCTAAACTTTTGACCACCCCACCCTTCACCTTTTCCCTGCCTTTTCCTTAAATTTCTAATAAAGGCCTAAGCTTCCCTGGTTCCTGCCCCTTGTGTCTCCTGACTGGTGCTTTCCCATGTGGCTCTGCCCTGGGTGCTGTGTTCCTATTTCTAGAATCTGTGAGTATGATTTGTGAATATATTGTTTACCTGTGTTCTCCCCCATTATAGCCACACCTGACTGATCATTACATGAAAGAACACAAAATAGTACCCCTGGGAGTTAGGGAAGAAAATGAGATTGGAAAGAGAAACAGGAGTCACATCATTACTAAGCTGCATTATCACATGTATGAAGAGTTCAACCAAGCTAAGTATGCTAGCCTATCTTCAGATGAGTGCAGTTGGTCCTCTGTATTTGTAGGTTCCACATAGATGGCTTCAACCAAATGCACATTAGAAATACTTGAAAAAAAATCTCATCTGTGCTGGACATACATAGACCTTTCGTTGTCATTATTCCCGAAACAATACATTATAACAACTATTTACATAGCATTTGCAGTACATTGGGTATCATAAGTAATCTAGAGATGATTTAATGTATGTGTGAAGATATATGTAGGTTATATGAAGTACTATGCCACTTAAATAAAGGATTTGAGCATCCACAGATTTTGATTTCCTTGGGTGTCCTGGAATTGTCTGACACATATAGATACCAGTGAGTGAATGAACAGATAGGCAAGAGGGAATCTTCTCTACTCTAATTGCTCTGGAATAATTAATGGTTCCTCAGGTAGGAGACTGGTGCTCCCTTTCCCTGTTGTCTGGCTGAATGTTGTGGTTTGCAGGAAAATACATTGCCTAGGTGAGGCACCAGGAGTAGAGGTTAAGAGCACAGATTCTGGAGTTAACACCTGTGTTCCAGACTTGGCTGTACCACTTACTAGTTGGATGATTTAGGCAAGTCATGATTTAATTTTCTCATCTTTAAAAGGAATTAAAAAGTACCTATCATAGAGTTACTTAAAGCATTAAATGAGTTAATGTGTGTGTACTTTTCATAGAAGAGTGGCTAGTACATAGTAAATACTATAGAAGTATTAGCTTTATAGGTGTAGTAAATCCTATTCATATTTAACTTTGAAAGACACCCAGATTCATCCCACTAGAACCACATTAAGACACTGTCTTGAGCTAGGTATAGTTGCCGCAGTCTGGCTGGGCACAATTCAGGAGCCACTTGTCAAAAGAA